GCACCCACATGGCAGCTAACTGTCCATAACTCCAGTTCCAGAGGATCTGACAGCCTCTTCTGTCCTCCGTGAGCATTACACGACACAGATGCACTTACCTACATGCAGGCAATACACGCATACACATAAACATATAAAAATAATAAATAAAATATTTTTAAAAATATTTATTTACTAACCACATGATTAGAAGAAGCATTTCATTACAGCTTTAACATATTCAATAACAATTTCCAGAGCAAAGATGCATCTCTTTCAAAATTGGCTGTAAATTTTTAGGTTCACAGTTATATTAATACAGTTATACAATATTGAACTCAGTATAAACCCTATGACTGTTTCATAAAGAAAAACTTATTTTTAGTCTTTTTAAAAAAATATTTTATTATTTTTATTTTATGTGTATGAGTGTATTGCCTGCATGTATGTGAGTGCACCTGTATCGTGCAATGCTGCGGAGGTCAGAAGAGGGCTTCGGATTCCCCTGGAACTGGAGCTAAGGATGGTTCATAGCCACCATGTGGGTGCTAGGAATCGAACCCTGGTCCTCCGCAAGAGCAGTCAGTGCTCTTAATCTCTGAGCTCTCTCTCCAGCCCCAGAAAAACTCATTTTTAATGCTACTAACACTTATATGTTTACACATGCATCTCTAATCTCTATGTATCTGATTATTACTTGTCACAGTTGGTACTTTCTGAGATCTACCTGAGCATGGATATAAAATCATGAGGTAGATTTCAATGATAATGTGTTTCACCTCTACTAATTAACATGCAGCAAAATTTTATGCTTCTTCCTCAAATATAACTCATTTTTTTTATTTGTTGATTTTTTTGTGTGTATTTCATACAGAACATCCCAAACAATCTTATTCATCTATATACCCACCTCCCAAATGGCACCTTCCCATAGTCCCCCCCTCCCACCCCACTGGCACCCCTGTTACTGTCCGCTGTGTTGTCAGCACTCCCAGCCGTTCTCCACTGCTTGTCCATCCACTGAGTCTAGTCAGCCTATATAGAGGTCCTTGTTTTAGGAAGATCAGCTCTTCCTCATCTAGCAGCAATAGTTGCCACTATTCCTTTAGAGAAGATTGGGGTCTGCTGTTCATTTTCCCAGTTCTATGCTGGGTTACTGTCTGGGAGTCTCTTGGGCCACCCTGGCCAACAACTCAAAGGAAGGTATCTCCTGTCTGGCATTGTTTCTTGTTATATAGCTTTTAGCTATACACATGGCCTCTTTAAGAATTATACTGATCCCTTTAATCTTTGGTTATACTTTCCTTTTGGGTGTTTAAGACCATACAGTTGGCCCAGATAAACTATGGTCATAGTTTAGTCCATTTGAGGATCTGTTCCTTAGGGGTCACATGGGCTTGGGAGGAGCCCTTGGCGCCTTTCTTTTACCAGTTTCATCTATGTGAAGTTAAGTCAAAGGTCCTGCTCAACTGTGGTTAGCTTCACTTGGAAGTATGGAGGAAACGTTTCCTCTGTGTTGACCCTCCTCCTTGTAGACTGGACACTGGTTCAAGTCCATTTGGTGAGGTCTCCATAGCCTCCTTGATCAGGAGGACAGGTGACGCACCACAGTTACAGGATATTTTGAGAGTTGCTCATGGTCCCCTGGAGCTTAGTCGACCTAGGAGGGCAAGGAGCAAAAACTGTCCTTTATGTCCCTCTGACCAAATTAGTATAGGCCCCAAAGTATGGTTGTTAGACATCCAAGAAGGTTAGCTCTACCAGTCTGGTACTTTTTTTTTTTTTCGTCTTTTTGAGACAGGTTCTCCCTGTAGCCCCAGCTGGCCTGGAACTCACTATGTAGACCATGCTGGCCTTGAACTCACAGAGATCTGCCTGCCTCTGCCTCCCGAGTGCTGGGATTAAAGTCATGTGCCACCATGCCCAGCATCAGTCTGGTACTTTTAATTACCATGTACTATGTAGATAAAGGTTGGGCAAAGACCAAATGTTCTCAGACAAACCTTGCCTAGACATGTATTATATTCCCTGAGCTAGCTGTATGTATAATTTGTCAGTAGGTTGTTGGACTAATATGGTTCCCTCTGGTTTTTAAAACTAGCTAGGCATTATTTATCTCTCACATTGTCTAACCCCTCCATTATGGTTTCCGCAATTAAAGTGCCCCCATTTTCCCTCTTTCTCCCTTACTAATACCCTTCTCCTATGGTTCTACCTGTCTTGAGCTCCTTCTTGCCTGTTTCCTACTGTTCTTCTCTTTCAGATTTTTTCTTTTCCTTTACCTCCCTGTTTCCTTTCCATTATCCTGGTTCCTGTAGTTATGTCTGGATACATACTTATAAGGATTTGGTGCTAGGATCCACATATAGGGGAGAACATACATAGTTTTTTTTTTTTTCCTTCTGAGTCTGTGTTACTTCACTTAGTATAACAGTTTCTAGTTCCATTCATTTACCTGCAAATTTCATGATTTTATCTTTCTTTACTGCTGAGTAAAACTTCCGTCAGGAAGCAGTGGAGAGTTTGGGCTAAGAAGTCAGTCTAGAGGTCTGGGGTGCCAAGACAGGAAATGTGCCAGCCCCTCTGCTAGGGGGAGCTGGGAACATGAATGAGGCTGAGGGAGTCAAGTTGCAGTGGGCACAGCAGCCAAACTTACCCAGACAAGCTGCTGACTCCAGGATGCTGTGGGGCTGGGCATATACCACATTTTCATTAACCATGTTAGTTGAGGGATGCTTAGGTTTTTTTCCATTTCTTAGCTATTGTGAAGAGAGCAGCAACAAACATGAATATACAGGTATCTCTACAGTATGATGAGTCTTTTGGGTATTTGCTAAGGAGTGGTATCACTGGATCATACAGTAGGTTCATTTTTAGTTTTTTGAGGGTTCTCCACACTGCTTTCCATAGTGGTTGCATGAGTTTGCATTCCCGCCAGCAGTGAATGAGCGTTCCTCTTTCTCCACATCCTCTCCAACATTTGCAGTCTTTCATTCTCTTGATCTTTGCCAATCTGATTGGGGTAAGATGGAATCTTTAAAGTGGTTTTTATCTGCATTTCTCTAATTACTAAGTATGTTGAGCACTTTTTAGGTGTTTCTTAGTCATTTTTATTTCTTTGAGAACTCTCTGTTTAGGTCTGTTGCCCAATTTTTTATTGGGTCGTTTATTTTCTTCTTTTTTATATTTTATTATTTTTATTTTATGTGTATGAGTGTATTGCACCTGTGTCATGCAGTGCTGCAGAGGTCAGAAGAAGGCTTCGAATTCCCTTGGAACTGGAGTTAAGGATGGTTCATAGCCGCCATGTGGGTCCTGGGAATTGAACTTGAGTCCTCTGCAAGAGCAGTCAGTGCTCTTAACTGCTGAGCCATCTCTCCAGCCCCCTTTCTTTCTTATTTTAAATTCTTTGTATATTCTGGATGTTAATCCTCTGTCGAATGTGTTGGCTCGTGAAGATTTTCTCCCTTCCTTCGTTGTTTCTTTTGCTGTACAGAAACTTTGTAATTTAATGAGGTCCCACTTACCGATTGTTGACCTTAGTGCCTCAGCAGCTGGTGCCTGATTTAGGAAGTCCTTTCTATGCCTATATCTTGAAAGGTGCTGCCTATGTTTCCTTCTAGCAGTTTTAGGTTTTAAACTTTTTAAAATTTTTATTTATTTTACTTTTTATTTTTTATGTGTATGCATGTATTGCCTGAATGTAGGTGCATAGGTAAGTGCACCCATGTCATGTAATGCCCTCGGAGGTCAGAAGAGGCAGTCAGATCCCCTGGGCCTGGAGTTATGGACAGTTGTTAGCTGCCATTGTGGGTGCTGGGATTTGAACCCAGGTCTTCTGCAAGAACAACCAGTGTTCTTAACCACTGAGCCATCTCTCCAGCCCAAGTTTTAGGTTTTATATTGAGGTCTTTGATCGATTTGTAGTTGACTTTTGTGCAGGGTGAAAGATAAGGGTCAAGTTTCATTTTTCTCCAGGTGGAGAGCCAGTTTTGCCAGCACCATTTATTGAAGATGCTGTCTTTCCTCCATTGTGTGTTCTTAGTACCTTCGTCAAATATCAGGTGGCTGAAATTTTATGAACTCAAGTTTGGGTCTCCTGTTGTGTTCCATTGATCTGTGTGTCAATTTTTGTGCCAGTACCATGCTGACATGAAATACTTTTACTTTAAGAAAGCAAGAGACCAGGAGATACTCTGTCTCAGGACAAAGGCCATATGTTTCTAACCTCCCCAACCATGGTTTTTATTAGTATAGATTCAGGGACAGAAGGTAGGCAGATCAAAAGATACTTCTGAGGGGAACTCAGAAGACTATTTACAACAAAATTTGACTTTTTACAGGAATATAGGCAGGTATTTAGCACATAGCTTCTTAAACATAAGGGACTCAGCACTTCAGAACCTGTGCTGGTATACATGATTGTCTGGCTTTGCTATTATAGGCATTCTTGGCTGGGTGTGACTTAACATGTATACTAAGTATGCTTTTAGCAGGGTTCAGGCAGTTTTTTTGCTTGCTTTTGTTTTTTTTAAAGATTTTATTTAGCACACTTTTAATCTCAGCTCTCAAGAGGTAGAGGCAGGTGGATCTCTATGAGATTGAGGCCAGCAGGTACTACGGGGAGACTCCATCTCAAAAACACCAAAAAAAGGGACAAAGATTTTTTTTAATTTGAATAATTTATTATTTTAACAAAAGTATAAAGTATGGAAAATTAGTGTATCTGAATCATTTCAGAGAGTAGAGAAAATTTCCTATTAACAGATTTCAGTGTTCAGCACCTTTGAAAAGAAACAGAGTTAAGACATGTGGCAATGCTAGCCTCAGACCACTACAGATAGTTAGGATCTGACTAACTGCAGTTCCTATAACAGAGAGGTCATTTGATTTGTTTCCCTACATTTTGAGGGTACCACAAAACACACACTAAAGAGGAGAAAGGTGTTCACTGAATTCACAGCTGGTGGTTAAGATGGAATAGAAGTGTTGAGACGAAGGGAGGTCGCAGGCTGGCAAGGTCAGATGGACAGTCCGAAGGCACTGGCAATGCAGTACATGGTCTTGTTCTCCCATCGCATGGTGCAGCCTCCACCGGTAGAGCTGTCCCAGAAGCAGGAGCTTGCTGTGTGTAACCCAGCTCCATTCTTCTGCATGATTACACAGGTCATAATGTATTTGAATGGTTTTCCTAGCTTGGTGAGTTCGCTTAAAGTCTGTTCTACAACATTTGTGGTCCACTGATTGACTTTGCTGTGCTGGTAAGCATTACCACTGATGGCACCTTCTATAGCCTCCTTTACAATGTTGCTCACTTCATCATCAACAACAAAAGCAGTCTCCTCTGCAGCCTGGAAGTCTTCCATCTTTCCTCCAGCCAGTCGCCTTCCGGGACAAAGATTTTATTTATGTGTATGAGTGTTTTGTCTGCATGTTTATAAGTGTACCACATGTGTGCCTTATGCCCACAGGAGCCAGAAGAAGACATAGGATTCCCTGGAACTGGAGTTACGGATGGTTATTAGCCTCCATGTGAGTGCTGGGAACTGAACTCAGGTCTTGTGGAAGAGTAGTAAGCGCTCTTAACTACTGAGCCACCTCTAGCTCCCAGCTGTCTATATAAGTATTGTCAGCCCTGCTAGATAGCCAGCTTGGGAGAATGGCCCTCGTTTCTTTACAGCCCAAGTTGGGACCTGCCACATACTGGTGTTTTGTCAGATTTGTTGCATGATTGGATGAATCTAGATGAAGGGAAAACTCAATGGTCCAAAGGGCAGAATTGACTACTTTGGCCCTGTGTTCCAGGGCAGTGGAAGCTAAGGTTTGGGAATTTTTGCTGCTGGTAACACCACCAGAGACTTCAAGCTCTTGTGGGAGATGATACCATTGGTAAGTTGCAGTATGCCATCTGTTGTTGAGAAGGCAGCATAACAGTTTTTTCTATTTTTGTGCTCCCATCGATATAGAAATCCTGGAGTGAAAGGAGCTTTGGAGATGGCCTGTTTCAAACTCTGTCTTTTTAAAAATATTTTTTATTATGATTGTTTTTAAGATATGTGTATATGTGGGTGTCTGTGCATGTGAATACAATGTTGGAGTTACAGGCTGCTGTGAGCAGCACCTGTGTTAGGCTGCTGGAAATCTAACTCAGGTCCTCTAGAAGAGTAGAATGTGCTCTTAACCACTGAGCAATCTCTTCACATGCGCCCCCCCCCATTGTTTTTTAATTGTGTTGGGGATCAATCCCAGGGCCTCGTGTATGCTAGGTAAATGCTGTACCACTGACCTACCCATTCAGCCCAACTTTATCTTTTTGCAGATGAGGAAACTGAGGTCCAGAGGGGTGAAGAGATGGTATATAGTGACCCAGCTCATTGGTTAGAGGCACAACTGGGGTAGAGGCAGATGGTAGCAAATGCCTCCAGGTCACAGAGGCAGGATGAATTGGAGGTTGAATGCAGGATGATCTATTAGGAGGGAGGCTATGGAATGCAGCCAGGGAGGTAAAGAAATGAAATACATAGAAGAGCTGGTATTAACAGTTTGTGTGTGTATGTGTGTGTGCTGGTAAAAGGAGGTAGACAGGACTGATGAGAGACACACTGGGGATGTTAGGAAAGTGTGAGATCTCATTTGGGCTTCTTGACCTCAGAATGGAACTTGAGGAAGAAAGTCAGTCACTGCAACTGGAACAGAGTGCTTTTCTTTGCAACATGAGTTTATGATCCATGAATCCAAAAGCATTCAATTTTGCATTTTATTTTTGGCAACACTACTTGGGCACATTAGTTTGTGGCATATCTTTGCCAAGGGTAACACTCCATCTTTTGGTGTCAAAGTGATACAGCAGTTTTCTCAAACTCACTATGTAGACCAGGTTGGCCTTGAACTCACAGAGATCCCCCTGCCTCTGCCTTGTGAGTGCTGGGATTAAAGGCATGTGCCACCACACCTGGCCCTTTTCCTATTCTTTTAAGTCCTCAGTGGAATCTTGAGGACAGGAATTAACCTTGCAAATGGTGTGACATAGCTACACCCAAATGTAATTTTGATGGTGTTAAAACTGAATGCCAGCCGGGCATAGCGAGTTCCAGACCAGTTGGGGCTACAGGGAGACACTGTCTCAAAAAAACCAAAACATTAACAATAACAACAACAAAAACAAACACTGAATGCTAGAAAAATAGCTGTTTTACAGTGATAGTCAAAACAAAAGTCTCCTATCCTTAGCCATGCAACTCCTTTTCAGTGCTGGCTTGAAACCCAGGGCCTGTCATAGCACTTGAGCTGTATTCTCGCTTTCCTCAGATAACTTAAACAGAGAAAGAAGAAAGGATTATAAGAGAGGAAGGTGGGGACTGGAAAGATGGCTCAGTGGTTAAAGCACTGGCTGCTTTTGCATAGGACCTGGGTTTAGTTCCCAGCACCCATATGGCAGCTAAAAACCATCTGTAACTCCAGTTCCAAAGGATCTGACGTTCTCTTCTGGCCTCTGCAGGCATTGCATGCATGAATGCAATTACATAGATGCTGGGAAAACACTCATACACATAAAGTAAAAATAAATAAATCAAGGGGCTGGAGAGATGGCTCAGCAGTTAAGAGCACTGAGTGCTCTTGCAGAGGACCCGGGTTCGATTCCCAGCACCCACATGGCGGCTACGAACCATCCTTAACTCCAGTTCTAGGGGAATCCGAAGCCCTCTTCTGACCTCCATAGCATTGCATGACATAGGTGCACTCACTCACATACATACAGGCAATACACTCATACACATAAAATAAGAATAACAAAATATATAAAAAAACAATTGGGGTTGGAGAGATGGCTCAGCGGTTAAGATCACTGGTTGTTCTTGAAGAAGACCTGGGTTCGAATCCCAGTGCCCACATGGCAGCTAACAACTGTCGGTAACTCCAGTCCCAGGGGATCTGACAGCTTCTTCTGGGCTCCGACAGCCTCTTCTGACCTCCTTGGGCATTGCACAACATGGGTGCACTTACCTACATGCAGGCAATACATGAATGCACATAAAATAAAAAAAATTTAAAAATGAATCCAAAAGTTTTAAACATTTTTATTCTTTTATTTTTATGTGTATGAGTGTTCCTTGTGTGTGTGTAAGTGCATCCGTTTCATGCAGTGCCCACTGAGGACAGGAGGGTGTTGTATCCCCTGGAACTGGAATTATCCATGATTGTTAGCTGCCATGTAGGTGCTGGGATTCTTAGCTAGGTCTTCTGCAAGAACACCCAGTGCTCTTAACCGCTGATCCATCTCCCAAGCCCCCAATAAAGTTTTTTTAAAAAATTTAAAAAGGGAGGACGGTAAGACTAAAGAAAAGAAAGAATTTGAGTTTTGGTTATAAGTGACTTTTCCCTTGCTAGAGATTTAGCTAATCCAAAGAAGCCTGAGGTGGATATTTCCCTTTAGAACTTCCCAACTTGAAAAGGGAAGCATGGTAGTTTCTCAGAATATATCAGACAGTAGAGCACCCTATTGCCTTTTTGGGGGGCTGGGAAAGAGCACTTGTTTATATGGCCCAGAGTTTGATCCCCCACAACCACATGAAACAAAAAACATAAAAAGGTCTATTGCCTTTTTATGATACTAATATAATTTATATCAATTTAATATACAGTTATATAGTGAAGACCCCAGCTTTATACATTAAATATGTAAATATTTGTGCCTTAAATTTGTGTGCATATCTTTGCTGTTTACATAAGTCCCATCTTATTTAGCAGTACAACTAAAAAGCAACTATCAAATTTTGTAATTTCATGGCTGTTTTGTGTTTTTTTTGGTCTGTTTTTAAGTATTTTATTATTTTTATTTTATGTGTATGAGTGTATTGCCTACCTGCTGGGAACTGAACCTGGGTCCTATGCAAAAGCAATCAGTGCTCTTAACCTCTGAGCTATCTCTCCAACTTCTTATTTAGATTTTTTTGTTTGTACATGCTCATGTGTATGTAGGTGCCCATGCATGTGTGCATTTGCATGTGGAGAACCCACAGTGTAGATCAAGGTGGACTTAATTTCATGGAGATCCACCTCCCTCTGACTCCTGAGTACTGGGATTAAAGGACTAAAGGCATGCGCCACCATACCTGGCTATGGCTTTTTTTTTTTTTTTTTTTTTTTTAATTTTATGTGTATGTGTATTTTGCATGCATGTAAGTGCAATGCCCACAGAGGTCAGAAGAGGGCATTTGATCACCTGGAACTGGAGTTATGGACAGTTGTTAGCTGCCATGTGGGTAGTGGGAACCAAACTTGGGCCCTCTGTAAGAGCAGCCAATGTTCTTAACTGCTGAGCCATCTCTCCAGCCTCTAACTTCATGGCTTCTTGAACTCATAGCTATCTATGAAAAGCTATGTTGGAAGAAACTATTTAGGGAAGCTTGCTTAGATCTGAGAATCCCAGTCTGTCCTCTAACATCAGTGCTAAAACCAGATCAGCAAAGAACTTACTTTCTCTTGCTTTTGTTGTTGTTTTTGTTTGTTTTGTTTTGTTTTGTTTTTGGTCTTTTTGACACAGGGTCTCCCTGTAGCCCCAGCTGGCCTAGAACTCACTATGTAGACCAGTCTAGTTTTGAACTCACTGCCTTTGTCTCCCGAGTGCTGGGACTAAAGGCATGCATCACCACACCCAGCATTGTTTTGTTTTGAGATAGGGTCTCGCTATATAGCCCTGGTCTGGCTGGCCTGAAACTCAACTCTGTAGGCCAGGATGGTCTTGAACTTACAGAGATCTACTTGCCTCTGCCTCATGAGATCCTCTTCTGCTGGATTTAAGGTGTGCACCACCTCATAAGTCTTGTCTTTGGTTTTTAAATTTTTTTCTTTAATTCATCTTTAATGTGTATTAGTGTTCTGCATGCAAGTATGTAGGTGTGCCCATGTTGTTCAGGGTGTTGGATCACTGGAACTGGAATTATATAGACTTGTTGTTAGCTGCCATGTGGATGCTGGGAACAGATCCTGGGTCCTCTGCAGAAGCAGCCAGTGCTCTTAACTACTGAGCCATCTCTTGCTTTTGTCTCTTGAGCCATCTCAAACCCCTTGTCTCTTGCTTTTCATTAACTTTTTATTTTTTTTGAGACAGTCATGTATCCCAGGCTGGCCTGGAACTTTGTTATATAATTGGGTATGACATTGACTTTCCAGTCATCCTGATCTACCTCCCAGGTGCTTGGGATTAGGGACATGCATCACCACACTTGGTTTATGTAGTACTGGGAATCAAATTCCAGGCTTACTGTATGCTAGGCAAGCATTCTACTAACCAAACTACCTCCTCAGCTCCATAATAACTTAATTCCTAATTATCAGCCAGCAGTCATGAAGCCTTTACTGAATTCCTGCCATAATAGCCATACTAATTCCTTACTTGGTGGAGTGAATGCTTTATGCCCTACAGAATGTCATCACATCTATAACCTCATTTGATTATCATGATAGCCATGGACAGAAGTCAGTAGTGACCTCACCTCACCTGAAGACTGTGTTGGCCCAGGAGATATTTAGGGCATTTTGACTTGGCTCTCAGGGTATCTGCTTGGCAGGATTAGTTATTCAGACGTATCAGTGAACTTTGAGTACTGAACTGAAAGGCTCATTCCCAATTGGACATGTGTTCAGAAAATAAGCAATCATGAGGAGTTGGAGAAGTCTTTGATACAGCAGATGGGACTTGAAAGGGGCCTTGGAAGAATCTTAACATTCATTCAACAGAAAACATCAAGGCTTGGTGTGATAAGCTTGGCAATGCAGTGATATAAAAGATAAGATACAGTGCCAGCTAGTGGTACATGCCTTTAATCCCAGCACTCAGGAGGCAGAGACAGGCAGATCTCTGTGAGTTCAAGGCTAGCCTGGTCTACATAGCAAGTTTCAGGCTAGCTGGGGCTACAGGGAGACCCTGTCTTAAAAAGACCAAAAAAAGATATAGGGCTGGAAAGATGACTCAGCATTTAAAAGCACTGACTGCTCTTACAGAGAACCTGGGTTCAGTTCCCAGCACCCGTAGAACTGGGAAGAACTAGCTGCTGTAATTCCAATTCCAGGGAATCCAATGCCTTCTTCTGGCCTCCTCGACATGCATGTGCTACACTTACATGCATAAAATAAATAAGTAAAAAATTTAAATAAATAGAAAAGTTAAGGTACAGACTGGCAAGATGGCTTAATGGGAAGGCTTTTGCCACTAAGCCTGATGATCTGAGTTTGATCCCTGGATCCCACATGGTGAAAGGAGAGAAACAACTCTTGAAAGCTGTGCTCTGATCTACATATGTACATCCTGGCACATTGCATGTACTATACACACACATATACACATGCCACAATGAATAAATAAATGTAATAAAAATATATTTTGGGGCTGGAGCACTGGCTCAGTGGTTAAGAACACTGGCTGTTCTTGCAGAAGACCCAGGTTTGAATCCCAGCACCCACATGGCAGCTAACAACTGTCTATTGGTAACTCCAGTTCTGGGGGATCCAACAGCCTCTCTGTCCTCTGTGGGCATTGCACGACATGGGTGCGCTTACCCACATGAAGGCAATACACACATACACAAAAAATAATTAATAAAATATTTTTAAAATGCATTTTTTAAAAGATAAAGTACCTACCCTTACAGCTGATTCCAGCAGAGGAAAGATATAATAAATCAAAAATAAAATTTAGACCAGGCATGGTGGTTCATACCTTTAGTCCCAGCACTTGGGAGGCAGAGACAGGTGTGAGATTGAGGCTAGCCTGTTCTACATAGCAAGTTCCAGGTCAGCTGTGGCTAAAGGAGACCCTGCCTCAAAAACAAAAATCAAAAAGAAAAAAAAAACCCTAAAACAAAAAAGTAGGTGGTCAGGGGAGAGCTCCCCATAGAGTTGACTTTCAAATTAATTCCTCAGTCATTGAAACAGCCAATAACTGTCGGGACCTGTGGGCACTAGCATTCCAGGCAGAAGAAACTGCTCATGCCAAGAATGGAAGTTTCTGGTGGAACCAAAGGAAGGTCTCTATCATTTGAATGGAATGGGTAAACAGGGAAAAGTGGCCATATGAGTTAGGGAATGGCAGGTTCAGACACACAGGAATGGTAAGGAATTGTATGTATTGGAACAGCTACAAGACAGTATGTGTTAACTCAGTGTCTAAAGTTTCAGAAGCTTTAATGAGATTATCAATCTTTATAGGGAAATATTTAAGTGCACTGTGTAGTGATCATAATGATACCTTAAGACTTGAACTACTTTGTATGTTTCCTTCCACAGCCAGGACAGTGGTGTACACAGGGACATGACTCAAGTGCCCCTCCCCATCCAGCTGTACAACTGGGCAGCACCAGAAGTGATTTTACAGAATGCAGCCACTGTGAAGTCAGACATCTACAGCTTTTCCGTGATCATACAAGAGATTTTAACAGGTGATCAAGGAGTTCATTAATAGCCAATTAAAGACCTTATTTTTAGGTTAGAGATTTTTTTCTCCCAATGAATTAAAGTTTTATGCAAAGGCAGAACTTAGGAAAAGATCTTCAAAGGTCTTCTTTGTGCTTATTAGACATAAGATGGTTTCCCAGAAATCTTTTAACTGTTCTTTAATACTCAGAAAAGCCCATAGATCTGCAGTGATAATACCAAAAAAAAAAAAAGCCCCAGTGCTGGGGATTGAGCCCAGGGCAAGAGCTCTATCACTGAGCTGTTCTCCCTGCCTCCTGAGTTAAGTTTTTAAACCGAATATTGGTGTCAATACTTAAGGATCTTTGTGATGTCCCTCTTTAAGGACTTATAAATGATGGAAGACTGGCCTCTGGAGAAGTAAACATATAACGGAACACACATAAGGATCAGTAAAGATAGACACAATAAAATGTCACTTGAAAGAAATGAAAACTTCTGAATCCTATATACCTTTCATGAGAAGTACTCATATAACTGAAGACAAAAGGACTCCTTTAAGAGACACAAACAGACAAACCCACATGTATATACATAGTTAAATCACATTTAGTGAGGGAATAAACAACTCAGCTGCTTTTCATGGTGTTTGCAATTCCAGAGGCAAAAATCACACTTTCCATGAGATGAATGCATTGGTCTACTCAGCCTAATGTTGAGAAACATTCCCTGATCCCCAAGTCAGCCAGGGAAGCTCATGTGTGCAGGATGCTGGTATACTATTTCCTATCTCTGGCAGGGATTCCCTTGATACATGGGTAAAGGGATTTCTTGCCTATCATTGGGCTTCTGGGTAGTTTCTCTGTGGAAAGAAAGTAAAGTTGAAAGGGATTGAGTGACTAGACTAAAGTTACTCCTGATTTCTTTTTTTTTTCCCATTTGCTTCTCTACATGTTTTTCACATTTAAACATTTTTAAGCATATATTTATTATACATAATGGGCTTTATTATGGTTTTCATATATATTAATGTATTTTGACCCTACTCATTCCATTATCCTTTCTATTCCCCTCTCACACTCCCAACTCATCTCCTTCCTCTTCCCAAATAGTCCCCTTTCTATTTTCATGTCTTTCTTTTTTTCTTTTTCTTTCTCTTTTTTCCTCAATCCAGTGAGTTTCATTAGGGTTGCTTACAGGTGCATGTGTGAGAGGTTATTTACAGAAGCCCGGGCAATTTAGCAGTTTCTCCACTTCTGATTTCTTAGTGTTCCTTCTGTTACTTTCTCCTTACAGACAGCATACCCTGGAATGGCTTGGATGGCTCACTTATTAAAGAAACCATAGTTTTGGGAAATTATTTAGAAGCTGATGCCAGGCTTCCAGACCCTTACTATGATATTGTTAAGTCAGGCATTCATGTCAAGCAGAAAAATAGAACTATGAACCTACAAGATATTCGGTATATCCTGAAGAATAATTTAAAGGCAAGTCCTGCAACTGTGAGAAATTTTTTTTTCTTTCTACATATGTAGCTTAGGGAATTAGAGACCAAGAAGCTAGAGACCCAAGTTTTCAGAAATTTTGGGATGGAACATAGTAATGTATGTCTATAATTCCAGTACATGGACTGGGGGTAGGGGAGGCCGAAGTAGGAAGATGAAGAGTTTGAGGCCAGCCTGGATGACATAGAGAGTTAAAAGCTAATCTTGGGGTACATAGTAAGACTCAGTCTCAATAAAATCCAAAGTTTTGGAAAGGCTCGTTTTATTATACTCTTCTTGTGTAGCTGAGGAAAGCCCATCTGCTTAACTTAGTGAAGACATCAGAGAATTTATGAGGGGTATTAGTTAAGTTTTCTGCAGTGTATAGTGACTATTCAATGAATGGCAGAATTAGAATAACAATAAATTAGCTAATTGTGACTATAACCATTCTGCCAAGAAGAGTAAGAAGGAGGTTATATGATATACATAGAAATGTTTCTAAAAATACAAATGGCATTTAGATTCATATGTGTCCTTGACAATATTACCTGTGTTATAGGAGTTTATTGGAACCCAGAGAACTCAGCCACCTGAGAGCCCCAGAGTACAGAGATATGAACCCCATACCGATGGTAATACATGTCTAAGACTGACTTCAGAATATCAAAAAGATGCTCCAGACTTGGATATCAAGGAGCTAAAGGAGATGGGTATGACGTTAACTCACAAGTTTAACATCATTTTGAAAACAGTGGGTTGTTTTTTGTTTTGGGGGGGTACATTTATTTATTTTGTGTGTGTGTGAGATCACACGCACATGCCACAGTGCATGTGTGGTGGTCAGAGAATAACTTGTGGGAGTTGGTTCTCTTTTTTCTGCTATGTGGGACCTGGGGTTGAACTCGGGTTGTCAGGTTTGGTGGCAAGTGCCTTTGCACACTGAACCAATCTTGCTGCCCTCCTTTTTAAAAAAAAGATATATTTTTATTTTATGCATATGAGTGTTTGCCTGTATGTGCACAATGTGAATGCAGTGCCCATGGAGGCCAGAAGAGGGTATCATATCCTCTGCAACTGGAGTTACAGGCAGTTGTTAGCCACAGTATGGGTGCTGGGAACCAAACCCAGGTCCCCTGGAAGAGCAGCAAGTGCTCTTAACTGATGAACCATCTCTCCAGCCTCATTGCTGGCCCTTTTTTGGGGCATCTTTTTAAAGATAAGGTCTTATAGCTCAGGCTGACCTTGAACTTAATGATTCTTCTGCCTCAGCTCCCCAAGTACTGAGATTACAGGTATATGCCATTACACTGGTCTGTCTATGTGAGAATCACATGGACTCCAATTGTCTCCTCCAAATTGTATATATAACCTATGCTGAGAAAAGATGGAAACCTTAGGGAAAAGTCAGTGTTCTTAATATTAAGTTAAATTTTGGGGGCTCTATGAACACTTGGCTTGTATGCAGAATTAAGTAGTAACAAGGGGTTTACTTATAGTATGTTTACTCTTAGGAATTTATCTAATTGTTTCAAAAACAAAAATGATTTAAAAAATTTTAAATATACTATGTGCTAACTAACTGGGCATAATAGTGTGCATTTATAGTGCCATTACTTTGAAAGCTCAAAAAGGAGTATCACTTGAGCTCAGGAGTTTGAGGCCAGTCAGAACCACATAGGGGGACTTTATTTTATTTATTTATATTTTGTTTATTTTTATTTTTCATATGTATGAGTGTATTGCCTACATGTGTGTAAGTGTACCCATGTGTGCAATGCCTGGGGAGGTCAGAAGAGGGCATCAGACCCCTTGGAACTGGAGCTATGGACAGTTGTTAGCCATGCCATGTGGGTGCTTTGGGTCCTCTGCAAGAGCAGTCAGTGCTCTTAACTGCTGAACCAGCTCTCCTGCCCTGACTTTATTATTATTATTATTTAAAAAATTTCTTTCTTAGTCGGGTGTGGCAGCACATGCCTTTAATCCCAGCACTCAGGAGGCAGAAGCAGGTGGATCTCTGTGAGTTCAAGGCCAGCTTGGTCTACATGGTGAGTTCCAGGACAGCTGGGCCTACAGGGAGACCCTGTCTCAAAAAAGACAAAAAAGCTAAAAAAGGTTTCTTATAAACATGGAACTTAACGTCTTCTGGTTATAGTTGAGAATACTTAGTTTTAGGGAGATTGTGACTACTCAGGATTACACAACTTGTTTCAGAACTGGAACATGGGCCTTCTAATTCCAACTTAATTACCATTCACATGAACTCTTCTCTGAGAGTGATGGAAGCCTACAAGGTGTCCCCTTCCAAACTTTCGTTATTTGTATTTGTATTCTTCATGCTATTTCCTGACAGCTGTACCTTGTCAACCACAAGTCATGTGTGAATCAACCCTGACATTTTTTAAAAATTTTACTTTAAAATTTTTTAAAAATTATTTTTATTTTTATGTACATGAGTGAATTGCCTGCATGTAAGTGCACTGTGCTGTGCAATGCCTGAGGAGGTCAGAAGAGGGTGTCGGATTACCCTGGAACTGAAGTTACAGATGGTTGTTAGCCACCATGTGGGTGCTAGGAATTGAATCCAGGTCCTCTGCAAGAGCGGTCAGTGCTCTTAACCACTGAGCCATCTCTCCAGCCCCAAACCTGACATTTTTTGAGCATCCTGTGATGCAGTGATTTCTTGGACCATATCTCAACTACTTTTATGAGATGTCCACTGACAGCATCACTTTAACTACCACAGTTGTGTGCAAAGGAAATTATGAAAATAGTGTTTGAGCTCTAGGGGCCTGTAATTTGCATGTCTTATGACACATGTTAAACAGTGTAAATGAAACCTACAACATTTTTCTTAGGATTTGACTCCAATACCCCAAAATTTGTCTCATTCCATGTCAGAATGGGAACTTTCACTTGAATTAGAAATACCCTTTCACCCTCTGTTGATGTTCTAGTCGGATATCACTCTTCTAGGAAGCAAATTGATAAAATAAAAATCTTTTTCTCTTCATTCTTATGCCTCTTAAAAAAATTTTTTTTTGAGACAGGGTCTCCCTGTAGCCATAGGTGGCCTGGAACTTGCTATGGAGACCAGACTGGCCTCAATCTCACAGCAGTCCACCCACTTCTGCCTCCTGAGTGGTGAGATTAAAGGCTCTCTTTAAAAATTTTATAATTATAACCAGGCATGGTGGTGCACACCTTTAATCCCAGCACTCAGGGGCAGAGGCAGGCAGATATCTGTGAGTCAAAGGCCAGCCTGTTCTACATAGCAAGTTCCAGGCCAGTTGGGGCTACAGGGAGACCCTTGTCTCAAAACGGCCAAAAAAATTATCATCATTATCATCATAATTATTATTTTTGAGACAAGGTCTCACTATGTAGAGCAGGTTGGCCTTGAGCTCGCAGAGATCTGCCTGCCTTTGCCTCCCAACTGCTGAGATTAATGGTGTGCACAACCATGCCTAGCCTATTACTACTACTACTAGCGACATGACCGCACAGGTTGGCTTTCAAATGCTCAGTTACCTAGGCTGGCATCTAACTTATCTTCCTGTCTCAGCCTCCAAGGTGCTATGATTACAGGTGTGTATTCTACCATGCCTAGCTCTTGTGCCTCGTAAACAACAGCCAAGGCTGCTTACTTTCTGAACATGATCAGTTTAATCAGTTGCTTGTTGCTATTCTTTCCTACAGGCAGTCAGCCCCATTCACCAAGGAGTCACTCTTTTCCTACTGAGAAAACAACACTAGCTCCTCAGGTCCTGGATCCAAGTCTGTCAGCCCAGGAACATCAGAATCCAAATGTTCCTTCTTCTCTTGCTTCATGTTTGGAAGAAGAAGCCAGAAACTCCACTTCAAGTCAGGCCAGCCTCTGCAGCTTTGAGATCAATGAAATCTACTCAGGCTGCTTGAACTTGCATGCTGACAAAGAGGAAGAACACCCAGAAACTGTTTCATCTCTTGAAGAGGGTAATAAACCAAACCAGGTAGATGAACTACCATCCCTGGAAGAAGAGCTGGATAGGATGGAGAGAGAATTGCATTGTTTTTGTGAGGAGGACAAGAGCTTTTCAGAAGTTGACACAGACTTCTCCTTTGAGGATGGGGACTGGCAAAGTGATTCGTTTAGTTCCCTTAGCCTGCCTCAGCCAACCAGAGAAGCCAAGGGCAAAATGAGCAGCTGGTCAAAAACTGATGAGTATGTCAGTAAGTGTGTGCTGAATCTAAAGATTTCACAGGTGATAATGCAACAGAATGCTGAGTGGCTGAAGAAACTTGATCAAGAAATAGATGAACTTGAGTTGGGACAGAAAGAGCTGGATAAGCAATGCAGGATTTTGTGGGATGTTTCAGAAAGATTTTCAAATGCCAAGATCCCTTTAGCTGTGGGCCCTCCATCATTGACTTACCATTCTCCTGTCATGCAGTTATCAGAACCCCAGCAGTCAGAAAACTGTGACAGGTGGTCAACCATGGCAAGATCTCCAAAAACAGTGAGAGACTTCCAAGGGGACCATTTTGGCAAAAGGCCAGAGAAACAAAGTGATTGTAGCCAGAAACCATTCACCCAAGTTTCTGAAGAAAGCAACAGGGACCAATCAGAGACAAGCAATCAGGTAAATCAAATGGGAAGAGGAGCTCCTAAGCAGGACCCAGAACCAACAATGCCTGTGAATTGTATGCAGTGCCTATATATAAATGCAAACAGCTCATATCAAGGTCCTGTTTTGGGAAATTAGGCCTCTGGAATTGCATGGTAGCTATTCTCTAACCCCTATTCCAAATCAAGCACAAAGCTTTTGCCCTTCTGTACAAATTCAAATTTATTAGGTTTGGCCAAATTTTTTTGGGGGGCGGGTTCTTTTTGAGACTAGTTCTCCCTGTAGCCCCAGCTGGCCTGGAACTTGCTATTGAAACTAGGCTGGCCTTGAACTCACAGAGATCCACCTGCCTCTGCCTCCCTAGTGTTGGGATTAAAGGCATGTGCCACCATGCCTGGCAGCCAAATGAAATTTTTTCCATATAGATCAAAACAATTATTACCAATTTGACGTAGTTAAACTTATATATTTTGGATAGGTATTAAACACTATTCTCAAGACTGGGGAGATGACTCAGTGGTTAAGAGCACTTGCTACACTTATTTTAAAAACAATATACCCTAGTGTTGGGATTAAAGGCATGTGCCACCATGCCTGGCAGCCAAATGAAATTTTTTCCATATAGATCAAAACAATTATTACCAATTTGACGTAGTTAAACTTATATATTTTGGATAGGTATTAAACACTATTCTCAAGACTGGGGAGATGACTCAGTGGTTAAGAGCACTTGCTACACTTATTTTAAAAACAATATACGTGGCTTCTTCTGTCCTCTGTGGCCATTGCATGACACGGGTGCACTTATCTACATGCAGGCAATACACTCATAATACATAAAATAAAAATAATAATAAAAAATAGGGCTGGAGAGATGGCTCAGCAGATAAGAGCACTAGCTGTTCTTGCAGAAGACCCAGGTTCAAATCCCAGCACCCACATGGCAGCTAACAACTGTCCATAACTCCAGTTCCAGGGGATCTGACAGCCTCTTCTGTTCTCCTTGGGCATTGCACGACACGGGTTCACTTACCTACATACAGGCAATACACACATACACATAAAAATAATAAAATAAAAAATATATAGTTGGAACACTAATTTTATTGTACACTCAATCATAGATATCTATTACTTTGGAATGGGAAGAGTAAATGATTACTTATCAGTAAAGTTTGGTAGATAAAATTATAGGAGGAACAGGACATATGTAATGAGAGTTTTGATTACAGAAAGGTTTGGAAAGATTCTTTAGGGGCTGAGCCCATGGGTTTCAAGACTGAATTCAGGTCTTCCTTTCTCTTTCCCTCTGGGATCTGCAACACTATCTAATGAGAGGAGTTTTTTTCTCTGGATGGACTTAACCCATGTCTTGGGATCCACAGAAGTGGGAGGGGGGCACAAGAAGGTATAACATGGGTGGGTGAGCTGATCAGCAGTGGAGCTGACAGGAGTCCAAGGGGCTCCTTGCATCAGCAGCTGCTTGAAGCAGACTTAAGGGGATGCAGCTCCATGATCTGCTTGACTGCCTGTTTGCTGCCTGCCTGCCATCTTATGTCCTCCACTTGGTATTCTTGAAGAAGATCCAGATTCAGTTCCCAGAACCCACATGGCAGCTTAGAATGACCTGTAACTCCTGTTCTAGGGGAAGCAATGCCCTCTTCTTACCTCTGGGGGCACCTGTACACATACGGCACACATACATCACTCAGGCCTTCACACACAAAATCCTCATTCTAAATTTCTTATTCATTCATTCATTCATTCATTCATTCATTCAAGAAACATTTGAAGGGGCTGGGAAGATGGTTCAGTTCGTAAAGTGCGTGCCAGGCAAGCATGAGGGCTTGACTTTGATTCTTAGCATCCATGTTAAAAAAAAATGCAGGCTTGTCAATCTGCATCTTTAATGCTAGGGAGGCAGTGACAGGAGGAGCTCTGAGATTTTCTGGCTAGCCAGCCTTGCTGTATAGGTGAGCTCCAGATTCAGTGAGAGAACTTGTCTCAAAAAATAAGGTAGAGTGTTTAAGGAAGATACCCATTGAACTCCGGGCTACTCATGAATATGTGCATGTATGCATGCATGTGCACATGTACACATAAACAATAAATGTAATCTTAAAATCTTTGTTTTGAGGGGCTGGAGAGATGGCTCAGCAGTTAAGAACACTGACTGTTCTTGCAGAAGACCCAGGTTCAAATCCCAGCACCCACATGGCAGCTAACAACTGTTTGTAACTCCAGTTCCAAGGGATCTGACAGCCTCTTCTGTCCTCCTCAGGCATTGCACGACACAGGTGAACTTACCTACATGCAGGCATAACACTCATACACATAAAATAAAAATAATAAAATATTTTAAACAAAAACAAAAAACTTTGTTTTGAGATAGGATTTTACTCTATAGCCCTGACTGGCCTGGAACTTAGAGATATACCTGCCTTTGCCTCCCAAATGCTGGTATTAAACGTATGCACCATTATGCCTGGCCCTTTTTAATTAAAAAAATTTTTAAAAATTATTTTTATTTTGTATGTATGAGTGTATTGCCTGTGTTTTTGTTTTGCTATGTGATTTTTTTCTTTTTTTGATCTTTTTGAGATAGGGTTTCCCTGTAGCTCTAGCTGACCTGGAACTCACTATGTAGACCAGGCTAGCCTTGAACTCACAGAGATCCACCTGCCTCTGCCTCCTGAGTACTGGGATCAAAGGTGTGTGCTGCCACACCTGGCCCCTTGCCTGTGTTTTTGTAAGTACAGCCTTGTTGTGCAATTCCCATGGAGGTCAGAAGAAAGCATTACATTTCCCCCAGAACTGGAGCACTCTTAACTGATGAGCCATCTCTCCAGCCCCCCTTTCTAATGTTTTTAATGGAAAAAATATTTCAAAAGAAGGGTAAGTGTGGTGACTCAAGCATTTAATCCCAGCACTTGAGAGGCAGAGGTAAGTGGATCACTGAGATCAAGGAGAGCCTGAGATGAGATAGTGAGTTACAGGCCAGCTGGGGCCACATAGTGAGTCCATCTCAAACACAGATGTACACACTCATATATATCAAAAGAATGAATTTTGATTGTCTGAAAAATTCACTTGGTAGAAATGCCTTATTTCCTGATGGTGCTAGAAACCATTGTCATATATAGCATAAAATAGCTCAAGCTGGCCTAAACTCATGATCTTCTTACTCAGCTCCCGAGGTGCTGGTATTACAAGTGTGTATCACTATACCCAGCTTCAAATTCCAGTTTTCAGTGGAAACCAAAATAGAGCTGAGCCACCTCTCCAGCACACTCCCTCCATCTAAGTAACATTGGACCGCAGGAAATTTCAGTCACTGAGCTTGAATTTCACACTGTGTAAGATGATAGGGTTGATCCATGCCTGAGAGGTCTTCTGGTTATAAATGTCTGTGACTCAAGAAGCAGTCATATCTCTGTGACTTTGCTCAAATTTGTACATTCATTCATTTCCCCATTCCTTCAATGATCACTTATGTGTCTTTGATTAATCAGGTACCATGCAAGGTGCTAGAACACAGAATGAATCACACCTTAACTGTCTTAAGCACAGTCACAGGAGAGTCATTCCACAATCTCACCAGCTACAAACAATCCTCCCAGGATATCCTAGGATATCTTGCTCATTTCCACTGAACTTTCTTTTTTTAAAATTTTTGTATTTTTTATTTTATGTGTATGAATGTAATGCCTGCGTGTGTGTACATGCACCCATGTCGTGTGATGTCTACAAAGGCCAGAAGAAACCATAGGATCCCCTGAACTGAAGTTACAGTCTTACCACAGGTTCTAATATAGCCTCTGACTTTATAAATGTTTCTCAGGAATCATTTCTCTCCTTTTACTATGTGGGTCCCAGGGACTGAACTTAGATTTTTGGGCTTGTAGGATGTACCTTTACCAGCTAAGCCATCTCATCTGATTCCAATTTTTAAAAATATTTTATTATTTTTATTCTATGTGTATGAGTGTATTGCCTGCATGTATGTAAGTGCACCTGTGTCGTGCAATGCCTGTGGAGGTCAGAAGAGGGCATAGAATCCCCTGGAACTGGAGTTAGGACAGTTGTTAGCCACCATGTAGGTGCTGGGAATTGAACCTACAGCTAGCCCCTGGGTCCTCTGCAAGAACAGTCAGTGCTCTTAACCACTGAACAAACTCTCCAACCCCCTCAACCCCCAATTTTTTTTTCACAACATGGTCTCATATGTAGGCCAGACTGGCTTTGAACTTGCTATATAGCCCAGATTGGCCCCAAACTCTAGGTCCTTCTGCCTTTACTTCCTGATCCTGGAATTACAGGCATGTGCTACTTTGCCCAGTTTATGTGACTGCTGGTGATTGAACCCAGGGCTTCATGCATGCTAGGCAAGCACTCTATCAACTGAGTCATATCTGTAGCCCATCATACTTCAATTTCAATGCCTCCTCTCACTTTTATACATCTTGATGTCATCCCCAGATGCCTTGCCGGATCTCTATTTGTTCATTTAATTTGCCAAAAACTAGAAAATAACAATTACCTAGGTTTGTTAAAATTAAATCAAAATTGGGATAAGCAGATGTCTCTCTTTCGAATAAAGGACATACACTTTGATTTATTTTACTTCAGTTGTTTCTAAAGTATTGTAACCTTCATTGTATTTTCTTTTGACAGCATCCCTACAGGTAGATATTACTATCTCCACTTTATGGATGAGGAAATGGAAATATAAGACTCACATTATTTTCAATAAGGCTTAGACTAGAATCCAAGGCCCAGAGTTCTTGCTACAAAGATTTCTGCCTTTATATTGGTGGAGGGGGAAAATGTTCAGGGAACTGTTTAGGTTTCTGATTTCTTATTACTTTTGATCTTTTGAGGCATGGTTTCACTATGTATCTTAGGGTGGCCTTGAACTCAATATGTTGTCCTGTAGCCCAGGCTTGCCTCATACTCACAGCAATCTTCCTATCTCAACCTCCCTTGTACTGGAATTATAGGTGTGAACCACCATATCCAGCTTTGGACATCTATTATATCTATTCATTTTGTACTTACACTTTGTCTGGACTGGGTTCTTGGGCCTTACAATTTTGGGAAAGGCTCCAGGAAAGATGATTTATTAGATATGTAATAAGGAAAGGAAATTGTCATAGCTGGTCTAGTTATTGCTACACACTTAGTAAACGTGGCTTTGAAAAGAGAATGTGAGAGTGGAGAGAAAAAATTTTCTATCAAAGCACTGACATGTTTGTTTCTTAAGCTGTCAACTCTTGGTGGTCTTGGAAAGCAGAACACAGATGAACAGTTACCATCTACTGAAGGATCCAAGGAGAGTTTGGAAAGAAGCAGGAACCAAAATAGTAGGTGGGTCAACATTTTATTGTACTCTATCACTATGCCTTTCAATTCTCATGTGGCTTTGAGACTACTTACTCATCTTCATATATTTAATGAGAAAAGGATTATGAATAATGAATAAGTGCAATACAAAAACAGATTGTTGCAGGGTTTCTTTACCAAGTAAGTGGAAAGAAGAGAGTAATGGAAACTTATAAGAGACATCACAGGCAAAGAGGCTGACAGGTTAAATCAGACAGAACTCATCAGTTGTCACTAACCAAGTATCTTGTTTTTCCAGAATTCCCTAATTAAAAAGATTAGATTTATTTATTTATTTTGTGTGCCTGTGTATGTGTACATCTGTGTGCACACTATGGCAACCATACAACAAATTAACTAAATAAAAATGTAATAATTTTTTAAGTGTCAAAGCACAGCATGGTGGCACATGCCTATAATCCCAGCATTTTGAAGACAGATGTGGAAGGATTGCTGCAAGCTTGAGCCTAACAGTGACATACATAGTGAGTTCCAGGCCAGCCAGAGGTAGATAATGAGATCCAGTCCAAAAGCAAACAAACAAAACAAAAAAGTAGACAAAAAAAGATATGCTAGAAATAAGATCTAGTGACTCATGCCTGTAGTCTCAGTACTAAGGAGGTAGAGGTCAGCCTGGGCTACATAATGAGATTCTCTCAAAAAGAAAGTAAAAAAAAAAACAAAAAACAGACACAGGCAGATCTCTGAGTTTGAGGCCAGTCTGGTCTTCATAGTGAGCTCCAGGCCAGCCAAGCCTTCATAGTGAGACCCTGTCTTAAAACAAACAAAAAACAAACCCAAACTCCCCCAAGCTCGCATGTACTCTACTTGCCAATGCTCTAAAAACCAAATTAATTTAGAAATGGAGCTGCTTATTTATAATTTTTTTTGTTGTTTGATTTTTGCAGGGTTGGGGAATGAATAAGGCCTTTCATGTCAGGCAAGCAATCTACCCTGAACAACAGCCCTCAACCCATCTTATGACCTTATGGATGGATGGCTGTTAGCTGCCATGTGGGTGCTGGGATTCGAACCTGGTGCAAGATCAGCCAGTGCTCTTAACTGATGATCCACCTCTCCAACCCCTGTAAACTTAAATTTTTAGATTGCTGAATTTTCCTCATTGTTGAATTTTAGTTTGTTTCGTTCTTTATTCTGTTAGGAACAAGATCACAGTGATTTAGAAATTTTTTTTCCTCTATTTTTAGATTATGTGCTCAGGGTAGATTCCATGAAACAGAATTACTAGGTCAAAGGTTAAAAGAGTCTTGATAATAGTTGCCCAAAAGCTCTTAAAATAAACGGATTAGAGGGGCTGGCTTAGTGGTTAAAAGCACTGACTGTTCTTGCATAGGACCTGGGTTCAGTTCCTAGCACCCACATGACAGCTAACAAGTGTCTATAACTCCAATTCCAGGACATCTACCACCCTCTTCTAGTCTATGCAGGTCTTGCACACACATGGTGCATGTGCCTACATGCAGGCCAAACATTCATACATATAAAATACAAGTAAATAAAAAAATATATATTTAAAAAGAAACTGATCAGAGTTGACCTCTGCTTTCTAGATTAGCTGAGGAGTAGTGCATTCTAGGCAATGAACTCATATCTGTGCCACAGATCACACATGAAGAGTTATTTTAACAAATGATAAAATGGATACAACCGTGGACTATTTAGAGGAAAAAGGACTACTATTTCTTTTTAAAAATATAAGAAAGCCTGGACATTTGTCAAAGTCAGACAGCTAACTTCTAAACCAGTCAGGGTCCAGAACTCAGAGAAACTAAACTGAAGATCTCAGAATGTTTACCAGGATCCTAGCGCCTTAAGATCCTTATTCAAGTTTTGGTTATTGTGCTATTGGATATGGTGGGCCTGGTACCAGATAATTCTGATGGAGAGGCAAGAACAGAACCTTTGCATGGAATATCAATTGGGATTTGTCTCACTGTGACGATGGTGGACTCTGCTGCAACAAAGGATAGGCTTCTATCTAATGAAACTGTATTTCAGTTGTTGGTATCTTCTACTCCTGAAAATTTCAAGAACAATTGTTAGAATCATGAACTATGAACTTGGAAACTAAAAAACAAATAAAAAGCTTGTAGATATCTTCCAACTTTTAAAATTTATTCATTGATTTTTATTTTATGTGTATGAATGTTTTGCCTGTATGTGCACCATGTGCATGCAATGCTACCAGAGGCCAGAAGAGGGTGTATTCACATCCCCTGGAACTGTGGATGGTTGTTAGCCACCATATGGGTGCTGGGAACCAAACCTGAGGCCTCTGCAAGAGCAATCGGTGCTCTTAACTGCTGAGCCATCTCTTCAGCCCAATCTTTTCATTCCTCAGCCAGGAAAGGTCTAGGGAATCAAGTGTCTTAAGTCACAGTTAAACAGCTAAAAAGTGTACTCTTTCCTGTATAAAGCCATGCATTGAGTTTCCCAATCCTCACCAGGGTTCTGTCAGATAAGGGGCCTTGCAGTCTGAGTGATACAGAGTCTGGTGCTCTCTGGTGGTAAGTAGGAGTCAGTGCAACTCCAGGACTGGCTCTTGGAGTGAGGCTGGGTTCTGGGTGGTTTGGTGGACTTTGAGTTCTGTTAGGAACGTCAACAAACTGATTAATTTATGTCTATACTTCCACCCTTCTCAAAATGATGCAACTTAGGATTAATATGGAATCTGTGTCTTCTGAAATCTATAATACAAAGTCAAGATATAATGAAGATGATGGAGAGGTACATTTAAAATGGAAAAGTGAGTATGAAGTCATGGGTTTTGTTGGATAATACTTATAGTTTTTTAATATTTATTTTTATTTTATGTGTATGGGTGTATTGCCTGCATGTATGTAAGTGCACCCCTGTTGAGCAATACCCTCAGAGATCAGAAGAGGATGTCAGATCCCTTAACCAGAGTTATAGACGTTGTTAGCTGCCATGTAGGTGCTGGAATTTGAATCTGGGGCTTCTGCAAGAGCAGCCAGTGCTCTTAACTGCTGAGCCATCTCCCCAGCCCTTATTTATAGTGTTTGGGTTTTTTTTTTTGAGACAGGGTCTCACTGTGTAGCTCAGGCCGATCTTAAATTCACAATCCTCCTGCCCCAGCCCCCTAAGTACTGGTATTATTCTCATGCCCAGCTGATAAATGAAATCTATATTTCTTAACCTGATTATCATCTGTTTTGTTTTGTTTTATGGTTCTAGAGATTGAACCTAGGGCCTTGTGCATGCTAGGCAAGCACTCTACAACTAAACAGCACTACCAGCTCCTGATTGATACCTCTTAAGTGTGAAACCTGTTTTTCACTGTTTAGAACCATAACAATGTCCCACCACATTTTTCTTCTGTGAGATTACCCTATTTTGAAATCATAGTTCTTCTGATTATATAGTGCAGAAAGGAAATGCTTCTTCTGTTTTTAGACTTTGTAGGAAATACTTTTTTTTTTGGTCTTTTTGAGACAGGGTCTCCCTGTAGCCCCAGCTGTCCTAGAACTCACTATGTAGACCAGGCTGGCCTTGAACTCACAGAGATCCACCTGCCTCTGCCTCCCAAGTGCTGGGATTAAAGGCGTGCACCACCACGCCTGGCTCAGGAAATACTTTTATAAACATATATTGTATAGCAAATTAATAAAACATTTATTTTCTAACATATTCTGTAATACCTTTTTTTATGCTTTATTCTGTAAATTTAAAAGGATATAATGTCACCGGGTATGGTGGTACACGCCTTTAATCCCAGCACTTGGGAGGCAGAGGCAGGCGGATCTTTGTGAGTTCAAGGCCAGCCTGGTCTACGTAGTGTGTTCTAGGACAGCTGGGGCTAAGGATATAATGTCTTTTTTGAAACAACAGTCTGATTTTGTACCCCTGGCTGGTCTGAAACTCAGAGATCTGCATATCTCTGCCTCCTAAGTGCTCAGTGTCCTTTTTTCCCCCCAATACTAGAGACATCAGAAATGTAGAATGTTTGAAATGAAAACAGGAATGTATATACACTCCCAAAGATTTGAGTTCAATGCAGTCTAGAAAAATTAGACAAACTGTAACTACTACAAACTGGGAATTTTGGATATATATATGTAATTTTCTCATTAAATCAGCAAGAGGGTCCATTTACAAATTTTCTGTTGCTTTCTACTGGAATTCATCAACACAGGCAATATTGCTTAGGGTGACTGAAGTTACTTTCTCTTAGTCTGTCATTAATTCTTCCTTTACTTTTCCTTCCCCTGTCATCAGTCCTCCCATTTCTCTTCTTAAAGGCAGACAGGGCAAGTAAAGGATGTTGAAACTGTACTGACACACCATTATTGTTAAAGTATGGCTAAAATAGTATTGACAACTTTTAAAGTTGAAAACTTTTGTTTCTAATATTCACAATGATGTTTGAAATGCTGCTTTCTCTTGTGTCCAGTAGCTGTGAAAGAAATGGCAGAGAAGGCAGTTTCTGGGAAGCTCCCAGTATCTCCTTGGAATTCTCAGAATAGTTTGCCTTTAAATCATGAGGTTGAAAATGAGACCGCTCTTCTGCCACAGCCCCCAGTTAGAGGTCCCGAGAACATAGATTGGCAGCATGTTGTAGACTATCACAGGGAAAATGAAGAGCCAGAAGGAAATATGAAGTTTGGCAAAATGGACAACAGTGACTATAACAGGGACAAGCATAGAAGACGACAGCCAAGCCTTCAAAGCTTCACCAGTAAGTTCATTTGAAAGGCTTGAGTTAGGTAAGCACTATCCACTTACCAGTTCTCAAAAATATGTAAACTCCTGGCATATATCATTTGCTTGATCCTTTCTCCTTTCCTACTGTTCTGCGACCCTTGTATTCCAAGTGAAAAGATTAATTTCCCTATTACTGAAACAAGATCACTTTGTTCAAAGGAAGTAAAATAATCTCCAAGTAGTGACCTTGGTCCTGGGTCTAACCTAACAAGAAATTCAACTTTTTTACCTGGGGATGGAAGTGGGCCATCATTCTCTTTTTTATTTTTCTGACAGAATCTTGCTGTATAGTCCAGGTTGGCCTGGAACTTCCTACCCACCTCCCCCAACCTCTTAAATGCTGAACTACAGGTGTATGCCACTATACCCAGCCTGCCTTTATCTTGGCATTGAATGCTAAGCTGGAAATAAGTCCACTGAGTTGATGCCAGAGGACAGATGAGATTTATAGGTTAAAACAGTATAAAACTTGGCTTACAGTCATCAGATATTATTTTATAGATGTTGTGAGTCAAAAGGACATCTAAAGTTGGTATTTATCTTTGCAGAAAATCAATTGGCGTATTTTCTGTTTGCTTTTTCCTTTTCAAAAATTAAGAAAGAACCAAAGAGGGAAAGATACCAGGGGCTAGGGATATTGCTCAGTGGATAAAGTGCCTGCTGTGCAAGCATGGGGATCTGAATTTAGAAATTTAGATCCCCAGCACCCAGATAAAGCCAGGTATGACCAACTGTGTCTGGAACCCTAGTGCTGAGATAGGCTGGGATGAGTGGAGACAGGCAGATCCCTAGAGCATGCTAGGAAGCTAATCTAGTCAATCTGTGAGTGCTGGGTTCAGTGAGAGACCCTGTTTTAAAAGATAAGGTAGAATGCTGAGCATGGTGATACATGCCTTTAATCTCAGTGCTTGGGAGGCAGAGTCAGGAGGGTCTCTGTGAGGTCAAGGTCAGCCTGGTCTACATAGTGAGTTCCAGGCCAGCTTGGAGACCTTGACTCAAAAGTAATAAATAAATAAACAAATAAATAAATAAATATTGTTCTTTTCAGTGAGATAGCTCAGTGAAATATATAGGGCTGGAGAGATGGCTCAGTGGTTAAGAGCCTTTAGTGCTCTTGCAGAGGACACACACACACACACACACACACACACACACACACACACACACACAAGAAAAAAAATCCAGAAATGATGGGACACATTTGTAATCTCAGCACTTGGGAGTTGGAGGCAGGAGGATCAGAAATTCATAATCATCCTAGGCTACATAGAAAGGTACAGGATACCCTGGGCTACAGAAAACCCTGTCTCAGAAAACCAAACAACAATTTTTTTTAAAGCAGGAAAATCAGTTGACTTGAGTTGTTTTGGTATTTATAACATTTTCTTCATCAAGAATTACTTTTTAAAAATTTTTTATTATTTTTATTTCATGTGTATGAGTGTATTGCCTGCATGTATGTGAGTGCACCCATGTCATGAAATGCCTTGGAGGTCAGAAGAGAATTTCGGATTCTCCTGGAACTGGAGTTAAGGATGGTTTGTAGCTGCCATGTGGGTGCTGGGAATCGAACCCCGGTCCTGCAAGAGCAGTCAGTGCTCTTAATCACTGAGCTATCTCTCCATCCCCTAAGGATTACTTTTGAATGGGTGGTATGAAAGGCTGGATTTGGGACCATGCTAAATTAGCTGCCTACTTTCTCCACTGAACTTAACATGCAGAACTTGACCACCTTTTGCAGATTATGCATGCACTTTATTCTCACATTGCTTTTTGCCCTTTTTATGCTATGTGAAAGTCACTGACTATGTTCCTAATTGTGTTATGATCACTAGGTATTGGGCACCTGTCCTTTAGAAAACATGAGCAGCTGCAGCATAGTGAAGCCTCTCAAGCAAGTTGTGACACATCAGTGGGGAATGAGAAATTTTGCAGTGTAAGTAATATGGCCTGGCAGAACCAAGATGCATACAGAGATTTAGTAAAGTAAACCTGAGTTGTTGTTTTGTGTCATGATACCAAAATAATATCTATACAAATTAGACTAACTATACAGGGCCATTTTATCATTTAAGAAATATAGGTAACATTCTAAATCAACTAAGTTTTTTCTCCAAAAATATATAGATTAGATAGATAGATAGATAGATAGATAGATAGATAGATAGATAGATAGATAGAATGACACAGTATAAAAATACAATAGTGATAAAATGTGATGTCTTTTAAAAATTATTATTATTGTAGTGCATACAGGCACACACACCATGGTTTATGGGTGGAGGCCAAAGGACAACTTTGTGGGTTGGTTCTCTCCTTCTACCTTTATGTGGGTTCCAGGGATCAAATTCAGGTTGTCAGACTTGCTTTGCAAGTACCTTTACCTGCTAAACTGAGTTGTCTTGCAGTCCCAAAATGTGAAGTCTTTTGAAATAAGGGTTGTATTTAATCAAATCATAATAAACAAAGAGAGACATGGACTGGAGAGATGTCTCAGTGGCTAAGAGCACTGGCTACTCTTGCAGAGGACCTGGGCTCTATTCCCAGCACCCACATGGCAGCTAACAACTGTCTGTAACTCCAGTTCCATGGGAATCTGATGCCCTCTCTGACCTCTGTGGGTATTGCATGACATGGCATGTACCTACATATAGGCAATACTTTGATACACATAAAATAAAAATAATAAATAAAATACTAAAATAATGAGAGACATTATTCTTTCACCTGAGGACTGGAAATTATACATTAAGCACATTGACTTACCTGGAGAAACTGGGTTAGTCAGGGGAATAGGGAAGACCTGGGGGAGGCTGAGTTTTTCTGAGAAATATGGTATGAGAGGCCAAAGGGAGCAGCTCTTAAGTGCACAGGGAGGTTCAGAAGGGTGTGGCAAAAGTACTGTCCAAAGAAATTCGCCTCAGAAATCTCTTCCTGAACTAGAAAAGAACTAGTGGTCTGCCTATATTATAATCAGACCCTTTTTCAAATATCTGAAATAAAAGTAAAATATGTGTATAAATGCTTTTATTTTTCAGTATTTTATTGAGATTTCATCGTCATTATAAAAACCAGACTCCTTCATGTACTTGCCTTTAAACAATAATACCTGAAGAACTCAAAAATTCTGAACAGCCTCAACCTCCTCATGTATAAAACAGTGCCAACACAGAGATTTTGTCAAACCTTGAGGATCAGTCAGATGTTTCAGTTTGGTCCTCAGCTTGAGTTGTCTAGGGCCTGTCTTACTTAGAATTTTAGAGCAGAAAGGTTGCCTAATCCTTTTCCCTTTTGTAAATAAGATGTTGAGACTCAGGACTATCATTCCTCCCATATTTATTCCAAGTAGTTCACAACTGCCTCTTCCTCCCAGGAAGGCAGAGGTACGTGTGCAAATAGACAAGAGTAGGACTCTAGGTAGTTTTGGATAAGCCCATTATTAACAATTGCATTCAGCTTCAGCGCTAAAAGGATTTGTTTACAGTGAACAGCAATTTCAAAGTGATTTCCTACATTATTAATTAGATCAGCCTGTGCAATCAGCTTATTTGCCAGAGACTTCTGAGGACAGAACAGGTCAATGTTTAACTCTAGACCATGAATATTTTTACTTGTCATCTACTTAAGAAAACAGATCTAGAGGTAAAAGTCACATCCAGGGCAGGATGGTTAATGTTGATTGTCAACTTGACAGGATCTAGAATCACCTAGGAGACAAGCCTCCAGGCATGCCTGTGGGGGATTATTTAGATTAGGTTAGTCTCTGGGCGTGCTTATGAGGGGTAATCTTGACTGGGTTAAGTACAGTGAGAAGACCCACCATAAAAGAGAACAGCACTGTTGCCTAGGTTTGGGTCCTAGACTTCTTCAAAAGGAGAAAGCTACGTGAGCACAAGCTGTTAGGGTTCTCTGCTTCTTGACTACAAATACCCCATGACTAGCTGCTTCAAGCTCTTGCTGATTGGACTTCCCTGCCATGCTTATTTTGTCAGTATTTTATCACAGCAATAGGAAAAGTAACTAGACTACATTTTCAGGTTTCTTCAATGTCTTGTTTTTTTAATTGCCTGCATGTATGTAAGTGCATCTGTGTCATGCAGTGCCTGCAGAGGTTAGAAGAAGGCGTCAAATTTCCTTGGAACTGAAGTTACAGATGGTTGTTAGCCCCCAGGTTCTCTATGAGAGAAGCCAGTGCTCTTATTTGCTGAGCCATCTCTCTAGTTCCCTTGTTTCTTTTGGAAATGTTAACTAATTACTTATTAGCTATGTGTACAGTATGTGTACATATGTGCACAGGTATGAGTGTGTCATAGTATGTGTGTGGAGGTCAGAGGACAACTTTCAGGCATTGGTTCTCTCCTTCCACAGTTGGTTTCAGGGGATCAAATTCAGGTTGTTAGACCTGAGTGGCAAGGTACCTTTACCCACTGAGCCATCATCTTAATGGTCCTCTTCTTCCTTTTAAATAATTTTTACTTAAAAAAAATAAAGTTTACTGCATGCAGATTGGAACATTAAGAAATTTTTAATAAAAGGATAGAAAATATTGGTCTGGGGGACTGGAGAGATGGCTCAATAGTTAAGAGTACTGGCTGTTCTTGCAGAGGACCAGGATTCAATTCCTAACACCTACCTGGCAGCTAACAAGTGTCTCTAACTCCAGTTCCACCGGAATCTAATGCCCTCTTCTCACCTCTGTGGGCATTGCACAACACAAGTGCACTTATACACATGCAAGGAATACTCTCATACACATAAAATAAAAATAATAAATAAAAGAAGAAAATATTGATCCAAGTATGGTTATGCATGCCTGTAATCCCAGCACTTGGGAAGCTGAGGCAGCAGAATAATAAATTGTAGGCTAGCCTGGGCTTCATAGAAAGTCCCTGCTTCAAGAAAAACAAAATGTTTATATGTGTATAGATACATATATACATTTATACATATAAATGTAATATAGACAAAAGCTCAAAGGATAGCTTATGTACTTTTGCAAACCAAACAGAACCAGCTTCTGGGTCAAGAAACAGAACATTACTAGTCCCCTTCTTCCTCTTTCTAGTCACCGCCTTTATCCTGAAGGAATCGTTCTCACTTCTCATGTCAATGAATAATTTTTCATATTATGCTACATTGTCAACCTCCTTTGACTCTTCTGATAAAGCTCCCAATAACTCAAACATCTTTGTTAGAAGATTGGAGTGAACAAAGTACAGAGATAGGAAGAAATGAAAAATCACATTTCTCCACACATTGGAGGTGGAAGGAGAGCTTGTTGTTGAGAGAACACAGAGCACAATAATGTATGGGAAACAAGTTCTTTTCCTATAAAATGTTCAGGGACCTTATGAAAAATTTTCAACATTTAAGAACATCAAGAGCCGGGCGTGGTGGCACACGCCTTTAATCCCAGTACTCGGGAGGCAGAGGCAGGCAGATCTCTGTGAGTTCAAGGCCAGCCTGGTCTACATAGTGAGTTTCAGGACAGCTGGAGCTACAGGGAGACCCTGTCTCAAAAAGACCAAAAAAGAATATCAAGAGGGCTTGATATATAGCTCAGTGGTAGAATGCTTCTGTAGCATGCACAGGTTTTGGTACCCAGCACTGGAATAGTAACAAAACAAAAATACCAAGAAATTCTCTCTTAACATTTATGAAGTTGTGTTTGCCTCCACTAAACTTCCTTTCTTTGCTTTTCTTTTGTAGACCTCAAGTCCCATAGAAGAGAACTTTGAAGGAATCCATAGTTCTTTTGCCCAACCTCAAAGCTATGGTAAGCCCCGGGGAAGATTCCTTTGAGAATCTCTTGCCTTCACTTTTTATTGAATTATAGATGTTATAGTTAGAAGGGTCCCTAGAAATAACTTTGTTTAGGCCTATCATTTTGCAGATGAGTAAACCAAAGCTCAATGATTTCCCCTCATTAGAATGAATCATCTGCTCCTCACAAGCCTCATGATAATCACATGCTGTTTTTATAACTCCTTTCATATTTTATAACATATATTAAAATATTTTATTATTTTTAGGTGTATAAGTGTATCGCCTGCATGTGTGTAAGTGCACCTGTGTCGTGCAGTGCCCAGAGGTCTGAAGAAGGCGTCAGATCCCCTGGAATTGGAGCTACAGATGGTTGTTAGCCACCATGTGGGTGCTGGGAATCGAACCTGGGTTCTCTGCAAGAGCAGTCAGTGCTCTTAACTGCTGAGTCATCTTTCCAGTCCCTATAACATATATTTAAGTGGTGCCCTCTTTCTGGATTTTAGGTTCCTTGCTGGCATACAGCATGTACAGGATTACCTTTCTTGAGCAACCTGAGGAATTTATACAAGATACGGAGCTAGTTATTCATACAACAAGAACTAGAACTTAGCTCTTCTTCACTTTAGAAGCAAGAATGTTACCATCGCTTTCCTTTGCTTAGCATCTTTTTTCTTTTTTTAGGATTTGAGACAGGGTCTCACTAGGTAGCCCTGGCTGGCCTGGAACTCACTCTATAGACTGGGCCAGTCTCAAACTCACAGAGATCTGCCTGCCTCTGGCTCCCAGTGCTGGGATTAAAAGTGTACACCAGGATACCTGGAAAAACTTACACTATTAAAATTAATACACAAAGTAAAAACTGGGCGTGATGACAGGTGCTTATAATCCCAATACTTGGGAGGCAGAGGCAGGTGGATCTCTGAGATTGAGGCCAGCCTGGTCTACATAGTGAATTCTAGGCCAGCCAGGGCTACAGGGAGATCCTATCTGAAAAAAAAACCCCAAAAAGCATAAAATAAACTTACTGTACAAAGTAATAGGTATTTTTGGTCTTTTTGAGATAGGTTCTCCCTGTAGCCCCATCTGGCCTGACACTCTCTGTGTAGATCAGCCTGGCCTCAATCTCACAGAGATACACCTGCCTCTGCCTCCTGAGTGCTAGGACTAAAGGTGTGTGCCACCATACTCAGCAGAATAATATATTTTTGTTATGACATTGTCATACATTCACATAGGTACTTTGCTTGTATTCAGTTATTTGTTACCCTCCTTTGTTCCCCCATATTCCTTCTTGATAGTCCCCTTCCCCCAAATAGTCCCTCTTCTATTTTCATCACACACACATACTTTTTTTTAAAAAACAAATCTAGATTCTGAGACTAGAGAGATGGCTCAGTGATTAAGAGCACTGGCTGTTCTTAGAGAAGACCTGGGTTTGAATCCCAGCACCCACATAGCAGCTAACAACTGTCCATAACTCCAGTTCCAGTGGATATTGACATGACAACCTTTTCTGTCCTCCATTGGCACTGCATGATATGGGTATATTTACACACATGAGGCATAGCACTCATATACATAAAATAAAAAAATAAATAAACCCCCAAAATTAAAAATCTAGATTCTGCATATGAAATAAAACATGCAGTATTTGTCTTTCTGCATCTGATTTATTTTGCTTAACATGATAATCTCCAGTTCCATCTATTTTCCTGCATATGACAATTTCATTCTTCTTTATAGCTGAATACAACTCATTGTGTATAGATATCACATTTTAGTTACTCATTAATCTGTTAATAGACATCTAGGTTGATTCCATGCTAGTATCTTAGCAAAATTAGTAGAGCCAACAGTGCAGACTCAACCCTTGGGAGTCTTTGATTCGTTTTTTCTTTTAAGCAGAATTGGGATTTTACTAAAGATATTTTAATATAGACTTAAGCATGAGGGCAGAGACAGAAAGACACACAAGAAAGTAAGACACAGGAGGTCATAGATTTGGGCTTATCTAGGAGAGAATGATCTCTTTTTCTTTTCTTTTTTGCATTTCTTTCTTTCTTTTCCACCTCTGACTCTTGCAGTCTTTCTACCCCCTCTTCTGCAGTGATCCCTGAGCTTTGGGAGGAGAGAGTGTAATAAAGGTATTCCATTTAGGGATGAGTACTCTGCAGTCTCCTATTTTCTGCATGTTGACCAGTTATGCGTTTCTGTGCTAATTGCCATCTGCTGCAAGAAGCTTCTTTGATGGGAGCTGAGAGATGCAGTAATCTATGGTTATAACAATAAGTCATTAGGAGTCAGTTTAATACTATGTCCATTTAGCAGGGTAATAGTCTCGGGTCTGGAAAGATTGCTCAGTGGTTAAGAGCACTGACTACTCTTGCAGAGGACCCGGATTTGATTCCCAGCACCCACATGGTGGCTACAAACCGTCCCTTAACTCCAGTTCCAGGGGAATCTGAAGCCCTCTTCTGACCTCCAAGGCATTGCACAACACGGTATACTCACATACATGCAGGAAATACACTCATACACATTAAAAAAATAGTAGCAAAGTCTCTTCTATGACCTATGACCTATGTAGCTGCAGGTTTTTGGCTCTGATAACAATGTCAGGTGTGGACTCCATTTTGTGAAGGGGATCTTTATTCCCATCAGAAAGTTGTTAGTTACTCCTATAACTCCTATAACTTTTGTGAGTATATCTTGCCAGGCCAGTTGTTATTGTAGCACATAGTGTTCTTAGCTGGGTAAGGTTGATGATACATTCTTCTTCCTGTAGCATGTATAGCACCTTCCGGCACTATGAAAGCTAGGTAGTAGAGATGAAGCTTGGAGGTCAGTACCAGTTTGATTTCTCCATGTTTGTTCTACAACTTACATACATAGTGTCTTCAGCAATAGGGTCTTACCCTCAAGTTCTCCAGAGTAACAAGAGCAGTGGCAATAACAAATATTGTCTGAGGGGCTATGTGATCTCCTTGGTCAACATCTCCAAAAGAGGGAGCTCATTCCTGGCACTGGGTTTTTTATTTGCTAGCCTGTGGTGTTTGGTAGGGTCATTGCCCTGCTACTCCCCATTATAGGGTAATTCCATTTAAACTCTTTATATATGTATGTATTTTAAGAAGCTTCTACAGTCGTAGGTTTCCATATGACTTTCTTTTTTCTTCTTTTTGGTCTTTTGGAGACAGGGTCTCCCTGTAGCTGTAGCCACAACTGGCTTGGAACTCACTCTGTAGACCAGGTTGGCCTTGAAGAGATCCACCAGCCTCTCCCTCCTGAGTGCTGGGATTAAAGGCATACGCCACCATGCCTGGCTTAGATTTATTTTTATTATATAAGGTATGAGTGTTTTGCCTGCATGTGTGTAAGTGCATCACATGCATGTCTGCTGCCCAACGAGACCAGAACAAGATGTGAGGCCCCCTGGCTTTTTCTACCATGGTTATTAGTGTAATTAGCTTCCATATAATTGCTGTGAACTGAACCTAGGTCCTCTGTAAGAGGAGTAAATTCTCTTAACTACTAAGTCATCTCTCCTGCCCCCAGATTATTATTTTCATTTCCTAGAATTTTCCTTGATCTGGAATTAAAAATAATAGCCAGGCATGGTGGTGCATGCCTTTAATCCCAGCACTCAGGAGGCAGAGGCAGGCAGATAGCTGTGAGATTGAGGCCAGTCTGCTGTACATAGCCAGCCTGAGATAATCTACATAGCAAATTACAGGCACGCTGGGGCTACAGGGAGACCCTGTCTCAAAAAGACCAAAAAGAAAAAAGAAAAATCTAGTGGAAGGAAGCTGTGGAGAGATACTACAGTAGCTAAGTGTGCTTACTGCTCTTCCAGAGGACCTGGGTTTGGTTCCTAGCATCTATGTGGCAGCTAACAACCATCCTTAACTACAGTTCTATGGGATCCAATGCCTTCTTCTGCCTCCATGGGCATCAGATATGCACATGGTACACTTATATACACTCATACGCAATAAATAAAAATTAATAAAATTTTAAAAATAATAATCTAACAAATAAAATAAAAAAATAATTCAGTAAAAATGTTTTCTTTATTTCAGTTGAAGAGAAGTTCCAAATAAGAGAAATCTTTGGAAAGAATGCTGAGATTTTGACTGAGCCTCGGTTCCAACCTACGCAATGGTATGGCTGTTACTGTCTTACTCAGTTTCAGTCTCAGAAGTAATGTTCAAATGTGAGAGTGCCATATTTATGCATTGCTTGTCTCCAGTGTATTGCCACTATCATAAAAATTAGTTTTGGGCAGCTTACATTTTTTAAGGACTTGTTGAGCAGAATTTGAGGGGTAGTGAAAAGGAGTCATTATTTATTTTCAGATCCTGATTCTTGACATTCTCTACATATGACCTTGGTCTTAGGTCTCTGCCCCTCTATTGTCCCATCTTTAAAATAGGAATAGTAATTCTTACTAAGAATATTGACATAGGAATTAAAAGTAACAATATAACTTTTGGGTATTTGTTCCCAAGAAATGTCTGGTTTGAGCCTGCATGAGTCTTGTGCATGCTGTCACCATTGTGATAAGTTCAAACAAGCAACTTTCAATCTCTCCTTTTCCCTTCCCCTCTCCCTCTCCCTCCCCTTCTGCCTCCCCCTCTCTGTCTCCCTCCCCGTCTCTTTCTCTTTAGAGACAGAGTCTCATGTAGTCCAGACTGGTCTCAAACTTAGTATATTGCTGAGGAGGACCTTAAATTTCTAGTCTTCCTGCCCCTATCTCCCAAGTGCAGACGTGCAGGGATTATAGGCATGTACCACTGAAGAGTGTGTGTGTGTGTGTGTGTGTGTGTGTGTGTGTGTGTTTGGTATGTAGCCCTGGCTGGCCTGGTATTCTCAATGTAGCCCGGTCTAGCCTCAAACTCACAGCAATATTCCCACCTCAGTCTCCCAAGTGTGCTATCATGCCTGGCTTCAAAATAAAATTATAATTTAAAAAACAAGTAGGCTGGAGAGATGACTCAGTGGTTAAGAACATTGGTTGTTCTCGCAGAAGACGTGGGTTCGAATCCCAGTACCCACATTGCAGCTAACAACTGTCCATAACTCCAGTCCCAGGGGATCTGACAGCCTCTTCTGACCTCTGTGGGCACTGAATGACACAGGTGCACTTACCTACATGCAGGCAATACACGCATACACATAAAAAAAAAGTTGGTGACACTCATAGGGGAGCAGTGTAAACCTTTAAGCCAGGCGTGGTGGTGCACGCCTGTAGTCCCAGCACTCGAGAGGCAGAGGCAGGCAGATCTCTGTGAGTTCAAGGCCAGCCTGGTCTATATAGTGAGTTCTAGGACAGCTGGGGCTACAGGGAGACCCTGCTTCAAAAAGACAAAAAAACAAACAAACAAACAAACAAACAAATACTAGTTTATAACATTCAATTTATTTTTCCCTCTTTGGGCTTCCATTTCCTTAATTATAATAGCTATAACTAGAAAATAGTATTCCTAACTATCTAGCATATTGTCTTTTTTTCCCCTTTGGTCTTTTTGAGACAGGGTCTCCCTGTAGCCCCAGCTGTACTGGAACTACGCCCAGGTCATTATATTGTTTTTTAATTTACTCCACACTCCTTTGAGATGTGTATACTTATCTCCATTTTGCCAAGAAGAAAAACAAAGGTCAAATAATATAAGTATTTTTTCTAGGGTCATACAGCTAGCTATTAAAGATAGACTGTAGTACAAAGAAAAACACATTGCTCACCTCCCCACATTTAGTAGTTTAAAAACAACAAAAATTGAGCTGGACGTGGTATCACATGCCTTTAATCCCAACACTCATGAGGCAGAGGCAAGTGGATCTCTGTGAGTTCAAGGCCAGCCTGATCTACATAGTGAGTTACAGACCAGCTGGGACTATAGGGAGGTCCTATTTCTAAAAAAGTTTGTTTTTTCTTTCTCCTTTTTCTTTCTGAGTCGAGGTATCACACTATAGCCCACCAATCAGCTCAGGCTGGCCTGAAACTCAGCAGTTCTGCTTCAGTTCTCCAAATGCTGGGATTACAGGCACCAAAAAGTTTGTTTGTGCCTCATGTCCATGGCTTGTGGGTTGGCTTAGGGCTCTTCTGTAATGTATTACTTTCTAAAAGGGATGTGGCTTAAGGAAGGCTCCGCCTCTGTTTTTCTTTATTGCTGAGGCAAGAAAAATGGGACCTATTGAATTGTGCATTGGATTTTAAAGTTTCTGCCTAGAAGTGACTCATCATTTTTTACTCATAGTTCACTGTTAAAAGAAGTCATGTGATCATTTATGTAAAAAAATGTTATTTTGTGATGTGCTTAGAAGAAGAAACAAATATTTGGGAGAAAGGTATTAATAAAGTCACAAGTCAACCTAAAATCCACATCCTTCTATGTCGTTGATCTCACCAGATTGCTACAAGGATTAAAAATATAAAGACAGGGCTGGGTGTAATGGCACACTTCTTTACTCCCAGTCGGGGAGGTAGAAGCAGGCAGATCTCAATGCGTTGGAGGCTACCTGGTCTAGTAGATGAGTTCCAGGCCAGCCAGGGCTACCTAGTGAGAAATCATCTGAAAAAAAAAAAGTAAAGAAAGGGAAAGATTTAGTGTGGGATCTACTTATTGTTATATGTTCCATTAATACTGAAAATGAATCCTAAGTTTTGGTTAAAGTAGAAATAAGTCAAGTTTGTTGTCAGTATCCTTTTTGAAATTTTTAGTTCAAGTCTCTTTCAGCCTTTCTTGTTACTCTACACTAAGAAGCTGTCAGTTGCTGAAGCCTCATGGCTGTATTGTTTGCTCCAAGGTCTACCTCCCAGCAAAGTTCCTAAGCTCTAATGGCTTTCTAAGGAGCTTGCTCCCAATCATATAGAGTTACTGGCTGATTTCAGAGCTGGCTTCCCCTTTGACAGTATTTAATCTATGGAGAGGAATTGAGGTCTAGACATGTCAAAGAACTTGTGGCTAGATAGCACCAGAGCGAGACCCAGAACCCAAACTTTGTACTTCTAAACTTAGTGCTCTTTCCATTGCTAGTAACCTGGCTCCTTTTACCAATTTAATACACATCACTGACAGTGAGGATTCATTCATTTTATTCTTTCTTTCACAGTATTGAAGATGAACAAGAACAGACATTAAAGGAGGCACCAAAGGAACTGAAAGAGAAAGACATGTATGACAACCAAAGGGTAGCCCAAGGATATTTGTATAAGTCATGTTGGGTTTTTTGTTTTGTTTTTTTGAGACAGGGTCTCACTATATTGCCCTGGCTGGCCTGGAATTTGCTATCTAGACCAGGCTGGCCTCAAACTCAAAAAGAGCCGCCTGCTCTACCAGCTAGTGCTGAGATTACAGGTGTGCATCACCACACCGGGCTCATTCTTAGCATTTTTATGTGTAGAATTAATGTGACTGTTTCTGCTTTTACCAAAAATATGCCATTAAATTGATATGATTATTATTAGTAATAGCTTATGATGATCAGTTTACTACTTAAGAGGGATTAAATCTGTTTTCTACACAAATATTCTTTCAAATATGGAAATAATTTTTTTAGCTGCCAAAATAATTTTCAAGTTATATTTTTGTAGTTTCATTATTGTCTTGTGGTACCATGGATAGAACCTCGGGTCTTTCACATGCTAGGCAGGTCCTCTGCTACTAAGCTATATTCCTAGCTCAGTATCTCTTTTTGTTTGCTTGCTTCTTTCTTGTTTGGGGGTGAGTAAATTTATGGGCATATTCTACTGTGCCCTGGCTGTTTGTTATTTGTTTTGTTTGTTTGTTTGTTTTGGTCTTTTTTGAGACAGGGTCTCCCTGTAGCCTCAGCTTTCCTGGAACTCACTATGTAGACCAAGCTGGCCTTGAACTCACAGAGATCTACCTGCCTCTGCCTCCTGAGTGCTGGGATTAAAGGTGTGCACCACCATGCCTGGCTTGGGTCTCACTTTCTAGCACAGGCTGTCCTTGGACTCACTATGTAGCCCAGGCTAGCCTCGAACTTGTGATTATCCTCCTACCTTAGCCTCCAAGTTCTAGGATTATAAACATGAGCAAACTACCATTCCCAGCATCTCTATTTACTTATTTATTTGTTTATTTGTTTATTTATTTATTTATTTATATTTTATATATATGAGTGTTTTGCATGCATGTTTGTAAGTGCACCCATGTCGTGTAATTCCCATGCAGTTAAAGATGGTTGTTAGCCACCATGTGGATGCTGGGAACCAAACCTGGGTCCTCTGGAAGAGCAGTCAGTTCTTTTAACTGCTGAGCCATCCCTGTAACCCCTCATCTCTTTTTAAAAATTAATTAATTAGCCAGGTGTGGTGGCGCACGCCTTTAATCCCAGCACTTGGGAGGCAGAGGCAGGTGGATCTCTGTGAGTTCAAGGCCATCCTGGTCTACATAGTGAGTTCCAAGACAGCTGGAGCTACAGGGAGACCCTGTCTCAAAAAGACCAGGAAAAATTTAATTAATTAATTTTAGTTATGTGTGTGTTTGCCTGAATGAATTTATGTGTACCACATGCATGCAGGAACCCAAGGAGGCCAGAAGAGGGCATTGGATTCCCTGGAACTGGAATTAAGGTGATTTGTGACACACCATGTGGGTGATGGGAACTGAACCTAGATCCTCTGAAAGAGCTTAGTAAGCACTCCTAACCTCCGAGCCATTCTCCAGCATATCTCTTCCTGAGATATTTCTTTTTAAAATATTTATTTTTATTTTATATATATGAGTGTTTTGCTTGCATGTATTTAAGTGCACCATGTACATACAGTACATCAAATTCCAGAGGGTTATCAAGTGCTTTGTAGGAGATAGGAACTGAATCCCAGTTCTCTGGAAGAGAAGTAAGTTCTCTTAACCACTGAGCCATATCTCCAGTCCCTTAAGATATTTCTTAACATTTTTTCAAGATATTCTTTAAATCTGACCTATTGCTGAATAATGATTCTGTTAAGAATATACTCTGTCTGTCAGAGCAGGACATGGTTATGCATACCTGTAATCCAAATGTTCTGGAGGCTAAAGCAGTTGGATCATGAGGTCAAGGACAGCCGCCTTACCTAGTGAGTTCAAACCCAGCCTGGTGTGTGTGTGTGTGTGTGTGTGTGTGTGTGTGTGTGTGTGTGAGAGAGAGAGAGAGAGAGACAGAGACAGAGACAGAGACAGAGAGACAGCACCAATGCAATCAAAGAAGTTTCAATAAGGAATTTATTGTTCCATTTTTCTAAACATTTTATAGTTACTGTGGGTTTTTTGTTTGTTTGTATTTGTTGTTTTTTGAGATAGGGTCTTACTATGTAAGCCTGGGCTAGCTTTGAACTCACTATGTAGCTTAGGATGACCTTGACCTCATGGCATAGCTTCCTAAATTTTGGGATAATAAGCTTGCACCTCTGTGCCCAGCAAACTGTATGTTCTTAATTCTTTAGATCACTGACAGACATCCAAGACCTGTCCAGTATCTCCTATGAACAAGATGGCTATTTTAAGGAAACCTCATGCAAAACACCCAAATTAAACCATGCACCTACTAGTGTCAGTACTCCACTCAGCCCAGGTAATCATGCACAAGGAGAAAATGGTTTAGAAGTGGAATTCACAACCCCTGCCTATTTTCCCTGGGAAGTCAGGTTGGGAATCAGACCTTGTGGCTGTTTTCTCCTAGAGCAAAGTTGTTTTAGGGCAAAGCTGAAAGGAATAATTACATAGGCTGCTAGGTAGAGATGATGTAACAGTATGACAGATCCTCCATGCTGAAGATTACCTGTTGCAAATGGAAGCAAGTTGAGTATTAGCACTGAGCCACCCCTTCCTCAGAAAATGACTCATAGCTAAACCTACATATCTCCCTTTGTTTTGTTTTTTAGGTACTGGAGATTAAATCTAGGAATTTATAAAAGTAGACAAGCATTCTACCACTGAAATATATCCCTAGCACTACCCGGGCTTTTGTCTCATGATTTCCTATAAATTTTAAGAATGCCATAGGCACAGTGGAGAAAAATAAAGAATTCTTGTTTTCTTTCTCTCCCTGGCTTAGCAAAACTGTAATAAACCCAATTTCCTTTAACCAACTTGTGTTTTCTAATTTTCTTTTAGGATGCATGGAAATTGAGGCAGTAGCTTATCAACCTGAATTTTAATTCAAAGGGTAGTGATGATGGCTTACTTCCTGCTTGGAAGTTTGTGTTAGAATTCAGTGATGTAAACATTCCCATGCAGAGTCTACTCTATACTTTAAGCACTGCTGACTTTACAGCAGAAATACAGAACTTTCTACAAATTGAAACTTAAAAATAGCACCTTGTGCTCAAACATATAGTTCTTTTTTAAAATTTGTATTTTATGTGTATGAGAGTTTTGCCTATGTGTAAGTATATCACATGCACCTAATGCCCACAGAGACCAGGAGAGGGCATCAGATGCCTTGGAACTGTAGTTACAGACAGTTGTTAGCTGCCATGTGGGTGCTGGGAACTGAATCCTGGTCCTCTGCAAGAATGGCAAGTGCTCTTAACTGCTGCACCATTTCTTCAGCCCCCAAACATATAGTTCTTGATGTCTACTGCCATATGTAACCAGCATTAAATATTTTCTCTTTAGTGTCCTTATTTATAATATAATTGTGGTTTAATTTCCATTTATTTCATTTTGATGACCAGGTTTAGATTATTTTTAGTGTCTTAAGAACCTTAGAATGTAGAGTTTTTAAAAAATATTTTATTATTTTATGTGTATGAGTGTATTACCTGTATGTATGTAAGAGCACCCATGTCATCCTATGTCCATGGAGGTCAGAAGAGGGTGTTGGATCCCCTTGAACTGGAGTTATGAACAGTTGTTAGCTGCCATGTGGGTGCTAGGAACCAAACCCAGGTTCTCTGCCAGAGCAGCAAGTGCTCTCAACTGCTGAGCCATCTCTCCATCCCAGAATGTAGAGGTTTTTTTTAGACCTGAGGAGCTATTTCACATTATAGTTGTTTCAGTTATTAACAATTTGGAAAAATCCCTGGTATAGTTACAGCTCTGTGGTTATTTTGTTTATAATATAAAGAATTCAATTACTCTCTTTTCTCTAAGAGTCAATTTCTTCAACTGCTAGTCACTATGAAGACTGCCTTGAAAATAGCACATTCCAAGTTAAAACAGGATCTACTCTTTGTTGGAATAGTCAAGAATCTATGAGAACTTTGTCTGTTAAATTTACAACTGTCCGAGAGAGAGCTAAGAGCCTAGAGTCTCTCCTTGCTTCTTCTAGAACTCTACCTGCAAGACAGATTGATCCTGTAAGTTTCATGGTTTTGTGTTATACTTTCATGGGGTCAGTCTGAGGGCCTCAGTGACACAAAGGGTTAAGATTTCTCCATATCCATTGAGAAGCAAGAATAATGCTGGATTCCTGCTAGGCTCCCCTGGGTCTCTTCTGAGTCTGTGTTGTAGGAGGCTTAAGTTTTGCTTCTTCTTTGAAATCTCCCCTGCTTACTTCTCTGAGTTTAAAAAAATATTTTAGAGCTAGGCATGGTGGCACACACCTTTAATCCAAGCACTCAGGAGAAAGCCTGGTCTACATAGTAAGTTCCAGGCCATCTAGGGCTACAGGGAGACCCTGTCTCGAAAGACCAAAAAATTTTTTTTAATTATTTTTATTTATTTTATGTGTATAAATGTTTTGCTTGTGTGTATATAAGTGTACCATGTTCATGCAATTCTTGCACAGGCCAGAAGAGGATGTTGGATCCCCTAGAACTGGAGTTATGGATGGTTGCTAGCTGATATGTGAGTGCTGGGAATTGAACCCCAGTCCTCTGGAAGAACAGCAAGTGTTCTTAACTCCTGAGCCATCTCTCCAGCTTTCTGCCCCCACCCCCCTTTTTTCATTTTTGAGACAGAGTCTCACTGTGTAGCTTTGACTGGTCTGGAACTCACTATGGAGACCAGTCTGGCCTCAATCTCACAGAAATCTGTCTGCTTCTGCCTCTCAAGTGCTAGGATTAAAGGCATATGGCACTACATCTGGCCTTCCCTGACTTTTGACTGATCTCCCTGAACTCCCTGATTAATTCCTGAGCTAACAGCCAGCAGGAAGAACATTTCATTTTATATCACCTTATTCCCTTCATTGAGCTCTTCTTTGTCTTTTTAAAAAATATTTTAATTTTATATGTATGAGTATATTGCCTGCATGTATGTGAGTGCACCCATGTTGTGCAGTGCCCACGGAGGTCAGAGGAGGGCGTTGGATCCCCTGGAGCTGGAGTTATGGAAAGTTGTTAGTCACCATGTGGGTGCTGGGAACCAAATCCAGGTCCTCTGCAAGAGCATCCAGTGCTCTTAACTGCTGAGCCATCTCTCCAGCCTTCTTTTGTCTTTTTCCCCCTCATATTTCACATGTTTAATCTTTTAAAGAAAACCATAAATTCCTTACTTACTTAATTCAGCTCATTAACAAACTTTTGGCTTGGGCTGGAGAGATGGCTCAGCAGTAAAGAGTACTGCTCTTCCAGAGGACCAGAATTCGATTCCTAACAGCCATATCAGGCAGCTCATAACCACCTGTAACTTCAACTCCAGGGGATACACAACACCTCTGGTCTCTGGTCTCTGTGGGTATCCACACTTAAGAATACAGATAGACAGAGAGACACACAATAAAAAATAAAATAAATCTTAAAAAAACTTTTAGCTGACTCTATGGGCAGACTGATAGATAATATTATCTTTAGCAGTCAATGGAAAGTTGATTGTAAATATCTTTTGTTATTTGATTCATAAAAGTTTCACTCAGAAATAAGGAAATAACAAGGAATTTTATGCTTTGACTCAATAAACTTAATTGGGCAGATTCTAAGTGCCAGACACCATGTCAGGCTCCCTCCACCCTTTATTCAAGCCTGACTAAGACGCAGGCCCTGCCTCAAAGTTGCTTACTACTTAATGAGGAAGACAGGCCTGGTATAACACAAAGTAAAGCACCAAGTGCTGAGCAGATAGGGCTCAGGAGCCTTCCCAGAGGTAGTGACTTGAGTTTGTGACTTACTCTGCAAAAAAATGGAAATGATTGAGCTGTATGTATGTGCCTTTTTAGTCAATATACATACTGATTACATGTTTATGTCTTATTTTCATAGAAAAAAATGTCTGCATGTGCTTTGGCTGCTGCTTCTAACATTTCTATAGCATCTGTGACATCAACCCATGCCACCCAGAGAAAAAGCCTGCCCAGAGGTACCATGAATTTAATATCAAAGATTTATTTATTTATTTATTTATTTATTTATTTATTTAATTTTTGAAACAGGGTTTCCCTGTAGCCCCAGCTGTTCTGGAACTCACTGTGTAGACCAGGCTGGCCTTGAACTCACAGTAGATCCACCTGCCTCTGCCTCCCAAGGGCTGGGACTACAGGCATGTGCTACCATGCCTGGCTATTATCAAAGAAATTAATAAGAGTAAGACAATTTAAGGAGGCTTACGTTGATGTTCATTAATCTTTGATACTACACTTGGCTCAAACAAAAAGTGTCATTTTTCTCTGATTATAAAAGTAAAAACATTATAGAAAACTTGAGGAATAAAGGAAAGCTTAAAAATCAAAATGATTATTTAACCTTACCATAATTTGCCATGTTTCACAATTTTGTTGCATTATCTTGTTTCATAGTTTTGGAAATATAGAACACATTTTAGTGGTATAACCATGCCATGATGTATCACTTATAGTCTCCTTGTTCCCCTTGATAGCATCTTTATCTGTGAATTCCACATCCGTGAATTTAACTAGTGCCAGATAAAAATATTTGAAACAGATTATATCTGTACTGAACATGTATAACTGCTTTTTCTTATCCTTTAAAACAATGTAACAGTGATTTACATAAAATGTACATTGTATTAGCTATTACAAGCAATCATATACTATGTCATTTTAATTATATTAGGAAATTGAGCATCTATGGATTTTGATATTTGCCAGAGTAAGAAGTTCTAGAAATATATATCTATATATACATGTACATATATATAGATATCAAGAGTTAAAATATAAAATAAAGTTATACTTTGAGGATTTCCTCTTGTCATTAAATATACTCATAAATATGTAATAGCTACATGATAATCTAGTCTATATACGTTGCTTAACCATTCTCTTATTTGAAGATTATATTATTTTCTAGTTTTTACCTTTTGTATTTGAAACTCTGATCCTTTCTTTAGTATAGATTCTTAGAAGACAGTTTCCAAATCACACTAGCTGAGGGTGCTACTAACTTTTGGGACACATTGCTTTTCTTTTTTTTTTTTGAATCTTTTTGAGGCAGGGTCTCCCTGTAGCTGCAGCTGGCCTGCATTCTCTATGGAGACCAGGCTGGCCTCCAACTCACAGAGATCCACCTGCCTCTGCCTTCTGAGTGCTGGGATTAAAGGTGTGTGCCACTATGCCTGGCTCCACATTGCTTTTTTTAAAAAAATATTTTATTATTTTGTATGTGTATGAGTGCCTGCATGTATGTAAGGGCACCCATGTCATGCAGGGTTTATGGAGATCATAAGAGGGTGTTGGATCCCCTGGAACTGGAGTTACAGACAGACGGGTGCTGGGAATTGAACCAAGGTCCACTGCAAGAGCAGACAGTGCTCTTAGTTGCTGAGCCATCCCTCCAGTCCCAAGGGACACATTGCTTTTATTGAAGTAATTTTAAAAATGTCTTTAGTATAGCTCTTGGAATTTCCCTCCAGGGAAGAGAGGTTTTGTGTATTATATTGAGAGGTTTTAGTTATAATTGAGCATTTGGGAAAAGACCCAAAGTGTAGTTGGTCTCCTTGCCTGATCATCTATAGAGAAAAGGCTTTCTGCTTTATGTTTTTGTTTGTTGTAGCTGGTCCAGAACCTCTATTTTTACAATAACCCTGGTCTAGAGGGGACTCTTAATAAATTTTTTACCTTACCTAGTTCAAGTATTCTTAGGAAGAGAGAGGCATAGACTGCGGTTAAGTGGGATGAAAGGGAAAAGAAGTGAAGGCCCTCATACATTGAGGAGGCCTCTACTAGAAATGTTATGTAAGGTACTTCCTTCCTCTTTAGTCTCTTTCATCATTGAGAAAGCTTCAGGACAAGTCCATGGAGAGCCTCGCAAACTGCAGTTCAGGTTTACGAGGGTGTTAAGTCATTTTCTCCTTTATCTTTTTAAAGAACTAGTGGAAGCCACCCCACAGCATCATATTGATGAGCTTCCACCACCAGCTCAGGAGCTACTTGATGAAATTGGTAAGAGGTATTCATTATAAAATATACTCTTTGGTTCCTGTTGGTTGTGGTCATTCATCATAATATCGTTTCTTTTTCTTAGGTATGAACACTAATACAAAAAGGTGTGGTTGAATGTACAAATTCAGGAAGGGACAGTTTTTCAATCAAGTAGGCTACTGCATGGCTGAAATAATTGGCCTATTCCTTTTGTCATTTTATTACTTAATGGGTCTGTGGTAAAGATTCTAAGGTAAAATAACATTCAAGTGGTTTATGATGATGAACTTAAAAAAATTTTTTTTGTCTTTTTGAGACAGGGTCTCACTGTAGCCCTACCTGGACTGGAACTGGCTATGTAGATCAGGCTGGCCTCTATCTTACAGAGATCCACCTGCCCCTGCCTCCCTAGTGCTGGAATTAAAGGTGTGAACCACCATGCCCTTTGAACTTTTCATTTTTGTGAAGTTTTTGTTTTGTTTTAATTTTTATGAGATAGAGTTATGCTCCATAGCCCAGGCTGGCCTAGAACTTACTCCACAGCTAGACTGGCCTTGAACTCTCTGCCTCTCAAGTGCTAGGATTATAGGCATGTACTACCATGTCCAGGTGATGATGAAGTTCTTTGATTAAAGGAATTCTTATCTCCCTTCCAAACCAAACCAGCTATTCCTTGTAGGCCTTCAATCTGACTGCTTAGGCCAAGACACCTGTACTTCCAATTTTGCTAATAGAAGAGTTATTAGAGGTATTGAATTGTGAATAAATAAATCTCTTTCCTAATTGCAAGAAGTCAGTGAGACAAAGCCTAATGAAACCAGAATTTTCCCTTTCTGGCAGAGACTAAGCAGTAGTACCTTAATTTTATTTGTAGCTAGGCTGATGTTGAAAGTAATAGTGTATTGTTATAGAGACCTTGGAAACAGGCAATTTGTTCCTCCAGAAGCCTATATGACCAAGCCTCATCTTTAGTTGGTTCAATTCTTGGTACAGAACCTACAGAGAATTTCCTTAGGGTTAGTTTTCAGGATCTCTGAGGTTTTGTGTATCATAAGGAATAAGGACTTAATGTTCTAACTCAGGGCAAAGACATCCTCTAGATTCCTTATCATAGCCTTCAGCTCTTGTCCTTTGACCTAATGAACTTGAGTAGAGGTAGAGCCAGAACTTCTTAAACCTTTCTTCCTCTCTCTGCCTCTGCTATAGGCCTCTCCCCTTCCCTCGCTCCCTCCTTCTCTGTCCCTCTTCCCTCTCCCTCCCCTCCTCCCTCCATTCTTTTATCTGTGTTAGGGATCAAACCCAGGGATTTGTGCATGCTAGACAAGTACTCTCCCACTGGCTACATCCTCTATAGCCCCATTCTTACCCCACTGAAACTCTCTGCCAGTATTACAGGGTTGTTTGACCAGGCTCTTAGTGGCAACACCCCTATTCTTGCTTTCTACCTTTTGAACTCTCTGTAGTCTTTGCAAATTCTTCCTCTCCAGTCACTCTTCTTAAAACAGCATAATCATTGAGAGTGGTCAATGCATCTCACATTTGTCCTGCTCAGGTCAACTCTTTGTGTCATTTATTCCTTGGCCATGACTTAAGGTAGTACTTGTAGGCTTCTTTACAGTTTGACAATAGCTGATACTTTGCCTCTGAATCCTCCTGTTTTTTCTCGACAGTCACCATGTAAAACCTCCTACCACCTCTCTCATTTCACCAGCTGTTTCCAGACTTCTTCCTAGGCTCTGTGCTTGAGTACAATAGTGCATAGTTTACAGAAGCCTTACCTCGTTTCACATGTGGAAATTATCTGTGCCAGGTTTCTAGGTCATATCTGTACTTTGAATGCGTTGGTAATTTTTCAGAAAGACAAAGAGTTAGAGGGCACTTGGGTAGTTTCTCCTGGGCCTACTCACCCAGTAATTCTACTATCATCACTTGGTTGTTTTCCCTAAAGAGACCTCTAGGGGATGATCAGGCGTTGTCCCTTGCTCTTTTAGAGCATTTGTATCCAAAGTTCTAGGCCCTTCACAGGAGCCTAAAGGGGAAGGTTCTTTAGAATTTTAAGATACAGGTAATCAATTAAGAGTAACAAGGGATAAAAAAATGGATTTTCTACTTTAAGTCATTTAAATGATCTCATAGGGCTTCTTGATGCTCAAGAGAAGACAGATAGGGCTGTTTCCCACACAGCAGAAGGGAACAAACCAGCACCTGCCTAGACCTGCCCCTTCCTGTGAACTTAGGGCGGCCTGTGTGTGCTTCCCCTAGCTGTCTCTCTGCTTTGCTCTGAGAAGCATTTTGAAGAAACCAAGCATCTAACAAATACAGAGCAGCCAGTGAGTTTGGCAGATGCTCGTCTTCTTGGTCTTGTAAGCATTTCTTTAGGATGTAGAAATGGTGGATATTTTTTGCCTTCTATCTTTCTATTGGCCAGGTAAAAAATATAACATGTAAGGCAGTAGAGATGGAGATTAACACTTGGGTTGCTCTGCTGTTGAAAGAGTATAAAATAGAGATTAGGAACATAACCTTAAGAGCTAAGACTGCCTAGATTCAAATCTCTATTCTACTTAATCTCTGTGATTTATGAAAGTTCTTTAGCCATGTGAGCCCTCCTTTCACCACCTCCATTTCAACAGCCGTGTTCCCAGGCTCTGGGCTCATGGCCTCATCAGAGAAACAGAAATAACAGCAGTAATGTAGGCAGTCTCATAGAGCTATCATAAGCTATCATAAAGATTAGTTGTGAACATTAATCTTGAATTAATGTTCATAAATACTTAGTACTTTCTACATATTCCTCTGAGTTACCTACTGTATTGTTAATAGTTTTGTTTTTTTTTTAATTTTCTTTCTTTGTCTTTTTGAGACAGGGTCTCTTTGTAACCACAGCTGGCCTGGAACTCACTATGTAGACCAGGTTGGCCTTGAACTTACAGAGATCTGCCTGCCTCTGCCTCCCATGTGCTGGGACTAAAGGTGTGCGCCACCACACCCGGCTAAATTTTATTACTTTATTTTTATTTGTGTGTGTGTGTGTGTGCGCGCACACACACACACACACATATCCACACCACAGTGCTTGTATGGAGGTCAGAGGACAGCTTGCAGGAATTGGTTCTCTCCTTCTACCTTGTGGATCCCGGGGATCAAATTCAGGTTATCAGGCCTGGTAGCAACTGCTTTAAGTTGCTGAACCATATTGCCAGCCCTTGTTTTATGAGACAGGGTTTCATGTGATGCAGGCTGACCTTGGACTTATATGTATGTAGCCAAGGCTGTCCTTGACAAACTTCTGCCTCCACCTCCCAAGTTCTGGAGTTATAGGTATATACCACTTTACCCTCCTGGTGTTTTGTTTTGAGACAGGGTCTCACTATGTAGCCTTGGTTGGCCTGGAACTCGCTATGCCAGACCAGGCTGGCTATGTTTTGAGACAAGGTCTCACTATAAAACTCTAGCTGGCCTAGAACTCACTATATAATCCATGCTAGCCTCAAACTTTGAGCAATTCCCCTGCTTCTGCCTCCTAAGTACTGAGTTTTTAAGCACGTTCAACCACACTTAATTATCAATATATTAAAAATTTTTTTTATCTTGAGTATTGTTTGGTATTTTTTTTCTTTTGAACTGAGAATGTGCTGAAAGTAGTGGTTCTCACACTTATCAAGCATCGGAATCACCTGTGAAAATGACTGGACCAGGGGCTGGAGAGGCTCAGTGGTTAAGAGCACTGGCTGCCCTTGCAGAGGACCTTGGTTCCCAGCACCCACATGGTGGCTAACAACTGCCTGTAACTTCATTTCCAGGGGATCTGACACCCTCTTCTGGCCTCTTCAGGCATTGCATGACATAGGTGCACTTACATGCAGGCAGAACACTTGTACACATAAAATCAAAACAATAAAATATTTTTTGAAAATGACTGGATCAAACTGCCAGAGTTTCTGATTTAGTAGGTCTGGGATGAGGTTTAGAATTTGCATTTCTAACAAGTTCCTAGGTCATGCCAGTGGTGCTGCTTTGAGGATCATCCATTGAGAGCCACTGTCCTAAAGAATGGTGTGAAAATATAATATAGGAATAAATTGCCTTCTGCTTTTGTATTGTGACAGAGCATCTGAAGCAGCGGCAGGTCTTATCCATGGAGTCACAGGAGAACACAGCACATGATTTGAGCGTTACTGAAAATGGTAAGCCAATAGCAAGTTCTTTTTCATGAGGTTCTTAGTGTAATGCTGTCCTTGATAGTATAACAGTACATTTGGGGAGGGTGACTTAGGTTGGACACAACTCCATCTGAATTTTTACTCCACCAGTTATTTTATGGCAAACTGTTTCTGAGTTTCACCTGCCTTTTTTTTTAATGTACTCTATTTTATTTTTATGGGTATGAATGCTTTGCCAGCATGTTTGTAAGTGCACTCGAGCTGTACAATGCCTCAGGAGGCCAGAAGAAGGTGTCAGATCCCCTGGTATTGGAATTAGAGTGTTGTTAGCCACCATGCAGGTGCTGGGAACTGAACCTGGGTCCTCTGCAAGAGCAGCCAGTGCTCTTAACTGCCGAGCCATCTCTCCATCCCAGCTTCATCTATTCATATCTTTAAAATGGGGATAATAATTCCTAACTCATGATATACATAATAGCTCCATGCACGGAGCCGGGTTCATTGTAAAATACTTAGCAAATGTTACTCTCCTTTCTTTTAGATGAAATGAGACAACATATATAGAAATGGTTGGCATACATTAGAGGGTACGCACAAATTCCTTCCCTGGGGCTCCAGGCTAGGAACATCTAAGAAGCAAGAAAAGGATAGTACCCTAAAATAAATTTGTACTGTTTGTTTTTAGGGTTGCTTGCCTCCTTTTTAGTTTGCTTTCTGTCCTTTGCTTTGTCTGTCTCTCTGAATTTGGCACTGGCTAGGTATCCTATAGCTTCACCTGGCACCAGAGAGCTCCCAAGACCCCAGAAGCAGCTGCTGAATGCTAGTGCCCTGCCTCTCAATTTTTCTCATTCTAATACAGTTAACTCTTTCAACTGTTTTTAGATCAAAAGCATTTGGATGAACAAGAAACTGACAGTAGTAAAGATAGCAGTTTCCTTTCTACCAAAGACATTCAAGATCTAGAAGAAGACACAGAAAGGTAACAAAAAGCTAGACCTTTGTAAGGTTTTAAAAATTCCATATTAGTTTTTATTCTAATATTGACAAATGAGGAAAATAATCTTTTTCTTTATTATCTTTCCATCCCTATTACTGAAATTTTTGCTTTTTATGTTACTAGTGTATGTTAATTATATATAATAATGGGGTTCATGATCTTTTCATACAGGTATATAATTTGTTGTTCTTGTTGTTGAGATAGGTTCTCCATTTAGCCCCAGTTTGCCTGGCACTCCCTATGTAGACCAGGCTGATGTTTATCTCATAGAGATCCACTGCCTCTGCCTCCTGAGTGCTGGGGTGAAAGGTATGTGCCATCACACCTGACAATATAATGTATTTTCATTACATTCACCCCAACATCCTGTTTCCCTCTTGTCCCCAATTTTAAGTCTACAATTCATCAGTAGTAAGTATACAGGTGGTACCTAACTCATGAGGGGCTCACAAGTTTTTGAAATCATTCCTTTAAAAAAATTACATTGTGTGTGTGTGTGTGTGTGTGTGTGTGTGTGTGTGTGTGTCCATGCATTCCACAATGTGCATGTGGAGATCAGAGGACAACTTACAGGAATCAGTTATGTACTTCAACCATGTGAGTCCCAGAGACCAAACTCAGGTTGTCAGGTTTAGTATCAAATGTCTTTACCACCTGAACCATCTTGCTGGTCCTACTTAGGAGTTTTTTATTTTATGATGATGCAAAAGTAATACACTATCAGTTTTAACCATACTGAGAATTTAGATTTTTTTTTTCCAAGACAGGGTCTCCCCATAGCCTGGAAGTCACTGTATAGACCAGACTGACCTTGATTTCACTGAGATCCTCTGCTTCTGCCTCCTGAGTGACCTAAATGCACATGCACCACACCTGACTCTAGAATTTTAGGTTTTTTTCTTTATTATTATTTTTTTATTTTATGAGTGTATTGCCTGCATATATTTAAGTGTACCCATGTCGTGCAGTCCCCGTGGAGCTCAGAAGAGGGCATTGGATCCCCTGGAACTGGAGTTATGGACAGTTGTTAGCTGCCATGTGAGTGCTGGGAATCCAACCTGGGTCCTCTGCAAGAGCAGCCAGTGCTCTTAACTGCTGAGCCATCTCTCTATCCCCCAAGCCTTAGTATTTGGAATTTTGATTTTTGCATACCATACATGTTGGTTCACACCTGTAATCCCAGAACTCTGGACAGTGAGGCATGAGGATTGCCATGAGTTAAGGCTAACTCAGGGTACAGAGTTTGAACTTGCTTCAAAAAAAAAGTTTGGACTGGAGAGATGGCTCAGCAGTTAAGAATATACTGACTGTTCTTGCAGAAGACCCGGGTTCAAATCCCAGCACCCACATGGAAGCTAATAACTGCCCATAACTCCAGTTCCAGGGGATCTGACAGATTCTTCTGTCCTCTGTGGGTGCAGGCAATACATACATACACATAAAATAAAAATAACAAATATTAAAAAAAAACAATAATCCGGGTGTGGTGGCGCATGTCTTTAATCCAAGCACTCGGGAGGCAGAGGCAGGCGGATCTCTGTGAGTTCAAGGCCAGCCTGGTCTACATAGTGAGTTCCAGGACAGCTGGGGCAACTGGGAGACCTTGTCTCAGAAAAGACCAAAAAAATATATATGTATAATTTAAAAAGTTAAAGAAAATCTTTTCTGGGCCAGCAATATGGAGTGTGATACTCTAAATGCTGGCTAACAGTGATAAGCTGTCAGCCATACAATGATGAGGATGAACTGACTGATAATCCACAGTGTACTGTGTTATCAAGTTATGCCATTGGGTCAGTTATTTGTGTTAAATATTAAATTCATTTTCAGCTTACAGTAGTTAGAGTCATATCATAAATGAAGGAACCATCTGGATTCAAAATTGTGTAGCTGATCTCTATAAATTTTCATTTTGCAAACCTAAATCTCTTCGCATATGAGATAGTCTCACTATGTATTCAATGCTCATGATTTGTCTGCCTTAGTCTCCCAAGTACTGGGTTTACAGGTATCTGCCACCATGCTCAACTACAAAAGTTAGACTCCATACACGCTAAACAACTCCACATTTCCCCTTCTCCCAATCATTAGCTACTGTCCTACTTTCTGTTTACATGAGTTTGACCACGTTTGATATTTCATGTAAGTAAAATAATACAATATTTGGTTTTTTGTGGCTTGTTTAATTTATCCTAATATCCTTAATGTTTATCAGTATTGTAGCATGTCATAATTTTCTTCCTTCTTCCTCCTCTTCTCCACCCCCCTCCTCTAAATTTACCTGTTACAAAGTGGACAAAAAACCAGTGCACCTGTGCATGGTAGCACATGTCTGTAATCCTAGTACTTGAGTGGTAGAGGCAGGAGGATAAGGAGTTCAAGGTCATCCTTGACTACATAGAGAGTTGAGGTCAGGGCTGCATAAGACCTTGTCTCAAAAAAAAAAAAATCAATCCCCCATATAATGGTTAATGTCAATTCAACACAACCTGGAATCACCTCAGAAGAGATTCATAATGAGGGCATGTCTAGGTTAGGTTGATCTGTGAAATCCCTGTACAGGATTTTATTTTTTTAAATATTTTCTTATTTTTATTTTATGTGTATGAGTATATTGCCTGCATGTATGTCAGTGCACCTGTGTCGTGCAGTGCCTTCAGAGGTCAGAAGAGGGAGTCAGATCCCCTAGAACTGGAGTTACAGTTGGTTGTTAGCCACCATGTAGATGCTGGTAACCAAACCTGGCTCTTCTGCAAGAGCAGCTAGTGTTCCTAACTGCTGAGCCATCTCTCCAGTCCCCCTCCTCCCTTTTTAAGAAAAATTTTATTGATTCAAGAATTTCATACAATGAGTTTTGGTTATATTCAGAAGTCCTCCCCCATCTCCACTTTTATTCTACCACCCCCACCCCACCCCCTACTTCATGTCTTCTTTTAGCAAACGAAAAACCCTATCCATCTTACATAACACCTCTGAGCTGAGTGCTGGAGAAATCATCCTATTAGAGTGTCAGTGATCTATAAATCTTACCCTTTCCACTGTACATGGTTTTGGGTGAGAATATTCTTAGGTTTCTTGGGATTTTCATTCCTAATTTCTGTTTCTCTTACTGCTTAGGAATGTCAAGTAGGGATTTCTCTTTTTCTCAGCAGTCATAAATGCTTGGTTTTCCTCATTAAAGTTAGTTGTTAGCAGCACTTGCATGCAGTTTACACTTTGGCTGTTTCCCGGACTCACTCAGCACAATGACCCATGGAGAACCAAGGAGTTCTCGAACAGGTTGATTCCGCACAGGATTTTACTAGCAGAAGCTAGGTTCTCAGAGCAGGGAGCAGTTAGTTCACAGGCCTCCAACCCAGGATTCTGAGTGGTAATTGAGACGTTTCACAGCTTCACGTGACAGCTTTACACCAGTTCCCTCAGTCTATTTTGTTATGAGGGGGTCTTTTTGAGACAGGGTCTCCCTGTAGCCTCAGCTAGCTGTCCTGGAACTCACTATGTAGACCAGGCTATCCTTGAACTCACAGATTCACAGAGATCCTCCTGCCTCTGCCTCCCAAATACTGGGATTAAAGGTGTGTGCCACCACACCCGGCAGATTTCTAATGTTTTTTTGAGGACTGCATCCAGGTCTTGACAGCCACTGAGTGATGATGATGATCAGCTATGGGTGCCACTGGTACGAGGCTCCTCTGTTGCGTGCAGTGGCCATGCCTTTGTGGCTCTGCTCAGCCAGTGCATGTGGGTGGCTAGGCCAGCACAGCTCTGCCATCTCGTTTCTCCAGTTATTTTCTCTCATACTTGCCAAGTCCTGAGTTCAGAATTTTGAGATCAATATAGAAGCACCAAGATTAATAAATGTGGGGTGTGGTGGTGCATGTCTTTAATTCCAGCACTCAGGAGGCAGAGGCAGGCAGATCTCTGTGAAATCCAGGCCAGTCTGGTCTACATAGTGAGTTCCAGGACAGCTGGGTCTACAGGAGACCGTATCTAAAAAGCAAAAAAAGATTTTTGGGGACTGAAGAGATGGCTTAGTGGTTATGTTATACTTCAACCTCAGGACCCCAAAGAGACCAGCGACTGCCCGACACTTCCAAAACTGCAAAAGCAAGGTTTATTGAACAAAAGTACAAACCGCAGTAGGGACCTTAACACAGAGACTGGCGTCCCAGCTCTATGAGAAGGCCCAGTCCATCGTTTGGGCTGGCCTTTTATAGGGGACCCACCACAGCCTTACGTCATGGTGGGGTGAATGTACGGGGCCGTAGGTGATTGGTTGTTTGTCAGGCTATTTTGACCATTTGTGGTTGGGAGGCAGTTTTGACTGTTTGTGGCAGTTTGTCTCTGGGTGTTCCAGGAACTACTTGCTCTTACTGGAAAGATTCAACTGGGGTGTTTAATAAAATGGAGGTTGGTTTTAAAACGGAGTTGCCACAGCTCTTCATTCCCCCCTTAGACTTGTCCCTGAGACCCAATCATGGGTCTTGTTACAATAACTCATAGCTTGTAGGGGGTTCTGATCTGAGAGGTGTGTAAGTCTGCTGCCCCTGGACCATAAGCTGGATGGTTCCTAATCGATCTTTCATAAACTGTACCAGCTTGTTGATGATACATGGCCCAAAAGTCAAGAGTAGAAGTAGGAGGATGAGGGGGCCTAGCAATGTAGAAACGAGGGTGGTGAGCTAGAGGGATTTATCAGACCAGCTCTCCAACAAGCCCTGCGTCTCCTGCCTCTGTCTACGTCTGTTATCCAGCCTCTCCCTGATCTTAGCCATATTTTATAATTCCTGAATGGTCTTGGTAGAAGCAGCACCCCTCTCACAAGGCGGCACAGAGGCCCCCTTGCTGAAGGAGTAGGAGGTCCAGCCCCCTCTGGTTCTGCAGGGCTACCTCTGCTAAAAAACTGACAGAATCCTGAAGCTGACATAGATTCTTCTAAACGCTGGAGGTCAGCATCTAGGCTGGTGAGTAAGTCAGTGTTT